CTCTCCAGCCTCCACGGAACAAGAGAAAAGGGTGACATTAGCCACGCACAGCTGTCCCTGCCGTTCTCTTCACAGCTGCTGAATGGCATTGTCACCCTGCTTAAGACCTTTCTAGTGCCTTTCTCACTGAATGTGGCAAAAATGCTTCGCCGTGGTGGGATGATGAAGAGGGTTTCCCTCCACTTCTTGATACTTTCCCGTCATTTGTCACCATGACGCCACCATGGTGAAAACTGCCACCATGACGGTGAACGCTTGGTAGTCGGTGCGGGCCCTGCGCCTCCCACTCGGCCCTGCGCAGGCTCCTCCCGCTAGCAGCCTCTTTCGGTTCCCTTTGGAGAATAGGACCGTGGGGAGGTTAAAATTAGCCCCTGGGAGAGCGCGGCCTGTCCAGCCTCCCTGCCCGGCCCCTGACCCTGCCTTTGGAGGGTGTCTGAAGGTCACAGCCCGAGAGCTGTTTCCACAAACACCATCTCTCGGAGTTCACAGCCCTGTACCTCCAGCAGACTGGATGTTCAGCTGTTCTTTGTTCGAAAGACCCCGGAGGTGGCCTCTTCTCGAACCCTGGGGCTGGAGGGCATCTCCCCTTGCTCTGTACCTGCCCCAGGAATATTGTGCCTGGGGCAGCTTGGGTGCCAAGCGGATGAGGAGAAGGCCCCTCCCTACAGGGCCCAGCCCGGAATCCACGTCTCTGTCTCCTACAACTCCTACAACTTCCCCCACCGCAAGGTCCCCTGTGCTCATGTCTCCAACCAGCAATGGGCCTGTCGGTACCCCACAAAGGGCTTGGGAGACTAGATGAGGCCGAGCCAAGCAGGGTCCCGTTCCTTGAGGACCGATAAGCTTGTGAGGACACAGGCACCGCTGGCTGTGGTGGGGAGCTGTGTGCAGGGCCTTCGTGGACGTGACCCTGCTGGAAAGCGCCCGGAACGTTCCATGGACCCGGAGATGTTAATGGGAGGCAGGGAAGAGATGGGTGTCCTGTTTCACAATCTGAACTCACCCCTACCACGCTGTGTTCTGTATGAGCTGTGGCGATGGACATGCATAAGCTCACGTCGTTTCCGCTGGTCACAGAGACCCCGCAGGGACTCTGCTCTGTGCCAGTGTGCCCCCGGCTGCGAACAGGCCGACTGAACTGGGGAACGCTGCCCTTTGCGGGCTCAAGACAGTGTCCCGCCGAGTGCTCGGCACCTGCCGCAGGAAGGGCTTCGTCCCGATGCCCGCAGGGTGGTCACAGCAGAGCTCCAGCCCCCACGGTCACCCCCTGGGAGTGTCTGCCCCTGTGCCGGGCTCACGTTACAGCGGATGGCTACTCGGGGTTTCCTTCTCTGTTTCGAAATGACTTGATAAATCCCCTCAGGAAGCCAGTGGCTGCGGAATGAGGAACAGAGTCTGGAGGCCTTGACTGCGAAGGACGGAGGGCAGCCCCCGCTGGCGCCTCCTGGGGGCAGCGCCCTGTGCTTGCGGAACAGCAGGCTCTCTGGCCACCGAGGTGCTGAGCAGCCGTTGGTCTGGGGCCTGCTTTCCAGGGGGGCTTGGCCAGTGGGACGCCGCCCAGTGTTCAGAGGGCAGAGCCCTCCTGCCTGCCCGGCTCCAGCGGGGTGGGGGAGGCCGGGCCCAGCACCTACCGGGCAGTCCTCTCCAGGTCCCTCGCCGACCCCGCGCCTGTGGCCTGCCCTAGGGTGGTAACTGCCCCCTGGCTGCTAGCTCTGGGGTGTGGCACCCCTCTTATTGGGATCCCTACACCCTGTCCACTCACTCTCCCCAAATTCCCCAGTTTAACGTGACATCTGCTTCCTGCCGGGACCCGACTGATGGACCTGACACTCGTCTTTTCAGACATCTTGATTTTAAATTATTGAAAAGGCCCCTGGCCAGTTTGGCTCAGCAGTTAGAGAGCTGGCCTGCGAACTGAGGGTCACAGGTTCGATTCCTGGCCGAGGAGGTCGTGTGGGGGGCAACCGATGTATGTGTCTCTCTCACACCGATGTTATTCTCCCTCTCTCCTTCCCTCCCTCTCTTCCATTCCTTCTAGAAATCAATGGAAACGTATCCTGGAGTGAGGATTAACAGAACAGAATAAAATTATTGAAAAGGCAGGGGTGAAGGGAGGGGTTCCCCCGGCCGCCTCCCCTTCCCTCCGAGTTTCTCTGCATCCCCAGTTCCAGACCCACGTAGGGTCCTCCCTGACCACCTCTCCTCGCTGCAGACGCAGCAGATCCATCCCATTGGCTGCTGAGCGCCTCCTGGCTGGGGACAACAGGAGGTCAGGGAGCATGCGCCTGACCAGGCCCATCCCTGCAGAACCCCGCGCTCCCGCCAGCCCGGGATCCACGCACTGCCCAGCTGAAGCCCCAGCTCCCCACCTGCTTTGACTTGGCAGGGTTGCTAGGCCACATCCGGTAGAGGCTGTCTGAGCAGACCCACAGCCCTGCGGGCCCCCCCACCCCGTCCTCTTGGCCGTCCTGCCTTGATGGAGGGTCTTCCCGGGCCCAGCGGGAATGAGAAGCCTTGCTGGGCCGCTCTCGTCTGCCTGGGCGTGCGGAGCCTCCCATCACCTGTCTAGACTTCATTCCTCACCACCACCACCCCCAGTCAGGTCCAACTCAGGAGCTCCTGTAACCCTGAGCACTCGGACCTTCCTCCTGTCCTATTCCAGAAAGTGCTTTGAACACAGGTTCCCCAAGGAGTGTCTGTGGACCCCTTCACATCTTAGTGCCAAGAGAGAGGAGGATACTCTCTCGGGAACAGTTCCTCCAAGGAGACCCTCACCCTGGCCTCGGTGGCCCCGTGCCCTCACCATGTCCTCTGTGTCCGTGTGTCTGGGCTGCCTGCAGAGACAGGCCGCTCCCTGCAGATCCACGTGGGCCCAGGGAGCCTCTGCTTCCGGGGAGCTCTGCCCCCTGGAGACCTGCCTGCTGTGGGGCCCACGCTTTTCCCGGGTGCCTCCTCTAGGGAGCTGTGGGAAGCTGCGGGAAGGTGTCCCCAAGCCATGCCTTTGAGTAGCCATTCATTGGCTTGCCTCCCCCCCTCCCCCACAGTCTGCTCCACCATCTGTGAGGTTTGCACTCAACCCTCCTTCTCTACTTTCCTGGGAACCTGGGCCACCTGGGCAGCAGCAACCTTGGTTTGCCAGGCACTGGCCCCCTGGCCTCTGCGAACAGGTCCTGGAAAAGTGGTCCCTGTAGGCTGGTCTCCCCGGCGACACTCAGCATCCAGCCCTGGCCTCCAGGTCCTCCCGCCTCAATGCAGGGACTAGATTAATTTAACTGGATTTATTCTGGGGGACTCGATTAATTTTAGAGTGTCCTGTTAATTCTGCATGCTTAGTACACACCTATTTCATCAATTCTAGGACCTTTATTTGTTCACATCTCTGAAGTCAAATGTGTCCACGATTGGCGGTGTATGGTAGCTTTTTAGCGGGATATACAATAATGTGTCCTCGCATCAGGACCTTGGATTCCCGCCTCTGACAGGCTCTCTCGGACACGCATTCCCCAGGTGTCCTGCAGCTGAGAACCCTGTTCCGGACTCACACTTGACTTTTCGCCCTGACTTTCTCTGACATTTTCAGATCTTTCTCCCATCTGCCCAGAGGCCCGTCACTGCCAACTGCCCATTCTCTGGCAGGAGGACACTTTGATCTGGCTTCCTCAGCTGAACCACGACGCTGATCTTGCGTCGGGTCAAACGATTTCTGGTCCTCTGCTCATTTTGGGTGTTGAACCTGTTCAAGTTCAACAGGTAGAGGGCCTGGCTGCCCCTGCTCAGATATTTCTGGTTCGATAATGCCTAAGAGATCACTTAATGTGTGCTTCGTGAAAACAAGGGAATCTATTTCAAAGAATTTTTAAAACCCTTTTGTTAAACCCTCTACAAAGGTGCAGAATAGCTTAAGCCTCACATTCAAGCACACACACCTTCCTGCACAGACTTCGTGCCTTGAAGTCCCCTGCTACCTGATAACCCCTGGGGGCGGGGCAACAGGGGCGGGACCTCGGTGGGGCGGGGCCTCCAGCAGGATGAGACCTTGGGTCAGGTCTCAGCGAAGCAGTGTCAGCAAAAGGGGCTGATTGTCCAGGGTCCTACTGGAATTTTCTGCTAAACTCGCAGAACCAGAGAAAGAATGGGCCCCAGGGCATTTGAACAGCCCAGGGGAATGGTCGCCTGGCTCCTCTGTCATCAGCAACAGAGATACAAATCAGGGAAGATGTTTGTGCTGACTCATTTTCTGGGCTTTGATAAAACAGGATTATAGCAAATGCAAAAAATATTTAAAATGAAAGCAAAATCATTGTTAGAATAGATTTTTTCTGTGTTTAAAAATAAGTGATTTGGGGGGGATAAGTTCCCCCACCAAACACATGTGCTCACACACACACAGTCTAGGAAAATATTCTAAACTATTGAAAATAGGTCTCTCGAGGTTGTGGGACTACAGGTGACCTTTTTTAAGTCTGCATTTTCTAATTTTGCCTTAATGAAAATATGTTACTTATATAACAAAATACTTTTTTTTTTTTTTTTAAATTCTCACCTGAGGATATTTTTCCATTTATCTTCAGACAGAGTGGGAAGGGGAGAGAGGGGGAGAAACATCAGTGTGAGAGAGACACATTGACTGGTTGCCTCCCACACAACTGCAACCAGGCCTGGGGACCGAACCGCAACTGAGGCACGTGCCCTTGACTGGCATCGAACCCGCAACTCTTTATTCTGCAGGTCAATGCTCTAATTGCTAAGCCAAACCAGCCAGGGCTAATAAAATCCTTTTAAAAATGAAAGTTATATTTAACTGAAAGAAAAATATCTTTCACACTGTCCTTTGGAGACTGGCTCTTGGGGGCTGCTGGCTACAGGATGGGAGGGCGTGGCAAGCAGACGTGCCCAGGACTTTTTCTGCATCGTGGTCACCCCCCAGCCCACTGGTGGCCTTGTGTCTGGTGCTAGCCCAGCCAGTTCAACCATGCTTCTGTTTCGGGTTCTATCCTCAGGCATCTGAAGGCGTCCCTATGAAGTTCTTTGCCAAGCTGGACCAGCTCATCGAGTTCTACAAGAAGGAGAACATGGGTCTGGTCACTCACCTGCAGTATCCCGTGCCGCTGGAGGAGGAGGATGCTGGCGATGAGCCTGAGGAGGAGACAGGTAGGAAGGGACAGGGCACCCGGCTCTCCAAGCACCACGGTGAGACCTGCTTAGGTGTTTCTCTCATGACAAATGCGATAGATTACGTGGGTCCAATTATCAGGGGGAGAGAGGGTGACACAGTGGTTAAGGACAGTTGGGACACGGGCTCTGGAGTCAGACAGACCTGGGTTGGACTTCCTGCTCTTCAGCTTCTTAGTTGTGTGAGCTTGGGTGAATTACTTAACCTCTCTGAACCACAAACTTCTCTTAAAGAGACAGTAAAAATAATATCTACTTCTCAGGGTGTCATCAAATAAGTCAATAAATATAGAGCCCAGAGCCTAGTACATAGTAAGTACTCAATAAATGCAGCTACCATCATTATCAAAATCATTAGCTGCATTTCACTGGGAAGAGAGCCAAGGAGGAGGAAATCTTTGCTGCTAACTGGAAGGGTGAGAAAGGTGTTACTTTTCATCTTCATTAAAAGAAAATAAAAGGTATAGACCCTAAAAAGCATGTGCAAATTGGACCTGCCCTGTAAGCTGCAGAGGAACAGAGAGAACAGAACAAGATCCTCTTGTTCTCACCTGGGTGGCACCCTTTTTTCCCCCTTAAAAGTTCACTTACCAACCAGAAAGAATATATGCACCCCTATATTCATAGCAGTGCTATTTACAACAGCTAAGATCTGGAAACAGCCCAAGTGCCCATCAGTAGATGAATGGATAACAAAGCTGTGGTACATATACATAACGGAATACTATGCAGCTGTAAAAAAGAAGGATCTCTTACCCTTTGAGACGACATGGAGGGAACTGGAGATTATTATGTTGAGTGAAATAAGCCAGTAGGAGAAAGACAAATATCACATGATTTCACTTATATGTGGAATCTAAGGAACAAAATAAGCACATGAATAAAATAGAACCAGAGGCATGGAAACATGGGACAGACTGACAAACTCAGAGGGAAGGAGGGTGGGAAGAGGTTAACCAAAGAACTTGCGTGCATACATGCATAGCTCATGGTGACAGACAATAGGGTAGTGCAGGCTGGGGGGGCAGGAGCCAGCTGGAAGTGTGCAGTGAGAGGGGAAAACGGAAGGGATGTCTGTAATACCCTCAACAATAAAGATAATAAAAAAAAAAAAAATTCACTTCCTTAAATAAAACCCCGAGATACAGAGCTGAGACCTTCAATTTAGGAGATCCAGGCTCTTCCTAAATTCCAGGGTCTGGAAACAACCCGGCCCCCTGGGATCGCTCCCAAGGGAGGGCAGATTAGAGCAGAGATGCTGAGGTCCCTGGCCGCCGTGTGCAGGGCACCCTTTCTTCCCACCGCCGGGCTGGCTTATGGACTGCCACCCACCCTGCACCCTGGCGACCCACTTCGCATAGCCGCACAGCTCACCGGCTTTCTCCGAGGGGAACTCTGTGGGCAGCCTCATCAGCTCGGTGGAGGGGCGGGACCAGGCAGGTCGTGTCTCTTCTCGCTTCCCTCAGCCGAGTGACAGGTGCCCTCGGTGGGAACAGCCAAGAGCTGACATGTCCCTGTGTGAGCCCAGGGCCACTCACCAGGGCTGTGCCACAAGTGCTGACGCTGAGAGACCACCCTGCAGAAATGCCTCCGCACCCGAGTCCTCACTAGCCCAGCTCTGCTGCCCCTTGGGGATGGCCACCTGAGGAGGTCCGAGACCTTCTGTAAGAGCCGGAAGAGTGCCCGTCTGCGGACTGCTCCTTCCCCAGGAAGCTCGGGCTGCTCCAGGCAGACTCATCCATCCGGGGAGCCAGAGCCCCAGCAGGAGAGGGAGTGGAGGGCTGGTCCTTTCGAGAGGCGGCGCTGTCGCCAAGGCTGTGGGGTGGCCGTGTGGGGTGGGAAGGGGCTCAGGCAGGAGGTCCTGGACTCAGGGACTCAGGACCCTCACCCGTTTGTGGCGTGTGGAGGATGGAAGTCCTGATGACTGGGCAGGAGTTTTACTTCCCAGGCCAAGGTCAAATCATTTGTGTCATATTTCAGTTCTCTTGGTGAAGGAAGACCCCCTCAGTTTCTTTGATTTGTCTCCAAGGGCCTGGGGGGTAGGGGAGAAGGAGGGCAGAGGCTGGAGAGGGGGCAGAGAAAGGAGGGCAAGGTAGGAGAGGGATGAGCTGTGTGTCTGGGCCTGTCTACTCTCATCCGCTCTTCCTGTTCTGGGAACGGGGCCTCTCTCTGCCGGTGCCGGGACCCCTGCTTTGACCTGAATGCTGGCCATCGGGCTGAGCGGCCTGGGGTTGCCGGCTCCCCCTGTCCAAGGCCAGCCGCTCTGCCTGGCACAGCCATCGGACCCCAAATGTCAAAGTGTACGCTGAGAGCCTCAATGGCAAGAACTGTGCTAGGCCCCCTGGGACCAAAGACCACTAAGACCAGGTCCCTGGTTTGTCAGGGAGGCAGTGAGGGAGTGGGGACGGCAGGGACAGTGTGGGCACAGATGGGGTCTGAAACTGGGTGCAATGGGCCTCGCATCTCAGGTGGGGTCACTGCACAGAGGACACGGTATCAGCCACGCGGCCCCCTCCGCAGGCGAGTGATCCAGGGGGGGCTGGAGCTTAGTCCAAATGGCTCTCCTGCTCTTCTCTTGGGCAGAAGGTGTCCCGTCTCCGCCTGAGCTGCCACCAAGAAACATCCCTTTATCTGCCGGGCCATGTGAAGCCAAGGAGGTCCTTCTCTTGAGTGAGAATCTGAGGGCCACCGAGGTCAGCCGGCCAAGCCTCTCCGAGACCTTGTTCCAGCGACTGCAGACCATGGACACCAGCGGGTGAGTACCCAGCTGGGGGGTCCCCTCCGAGGCCAGCCTGTGCCACAGCACCCAGGCAGCTCCCTCGGGGCTCACTCCTGGAGGTACCCCTTCCACCCTAGGACAGGTTGCTGCAGAGCCCACTGGCCCCGATGGTGTGTCTGAGGGAGCCCAGCTCACCTGGCGGCTCCACCGCAGGGCACAGGACAGCCCTGCTCAGGGGCTCCGTCCCCGCCAGGCCCAGCAGCATGGCGGGAGCTGGCTCGGGACCGATGTGCCTCTCTCTGCTGCCCACAGCATGGTCCCGACTTTGGGGGCCTGTGCTGTGACTCCTACTGGGGCTTGCTGTACACTGCACACAGCATCTGTCCCCCTCATGGTGCCTCGGGAGCCACCCCATCGACTGAGTCAGCTGGTCCGGGGGGAGGAGCTGCCTGCCCTGCACCTGGAAACCACACAGCCCTTTCCTGCACCTTCCTTGTCACCTGCGAATGGGTCAGAGCAGTAGTTCCGTGTGTGGTACGGACTGTGAGGTCTGCAGAGCATGGCGCTCCTTCCTTTTAAGGCCGACTTGCTCTGATGCAGAGGTCTCAGCCTCTGATCCTTCATGTGTCCCCTTACTGGCTCCTGCTGGCCCCGCAGCTTCTTCGCCATATGGCCCCTCTCTTAGCAGGCCCAGGACTTGCAAATCAGAGGCCCCGACTTTAAGACAGGCCAGGGGGACGGCTTCAGTAGGAAGGAAGCTCCATGAGGGGAACGTGTCCCCAGTGCCCAGCACGTTGCCTAGTGTATGAATTCGTCAGTGCGTACCCAGCAGCCTCCGTGCATTCATAATCTAGAAACATTTTTGTCTCTTTGTGAGAAAAGGCCCCCCAAAGAATATCCTAGCGGCAGGCTGCTGTGACATCTCCCACTTGAAAGATCAACTCGAGGCAGCCAGGGCCGCTCCCCTACCGCGTGATCTGGCAAAATCCTAAGGAAATGCCTGCAGGTACACACAAGCCTCCCGGTTGCTAAGATACCTGGTGTTTTCTATTTCCCCCCCGACGCACCCCCTGATTCTTCTCCAGGCCACATGCTCTGCACACTCTGAGTTCCCTGTGCTCTTTACCAGCCAGCTAAATACCCAATGCTTTGAATATGTTGGTGCATCATCGCGATTGTCCTGATAGATATGTCTAAGTAACAGACGCTCGTTCAGAGATTCCATGCAGAGCCCGTGTTCGTCTCCATGAGTTTGCAGTTCTCTCCCGGGTTAGATGCTGAATGCAGTGACCTCCTTGGGGGAATCGGCAGGGAGCCCAAAGGTGCCACCATCCGCGCAGTCCTCCTGCCTCTCTCACGTCTACTGACTCCGACTCCTCGCCAGGGCCTCCTCTCTGGGGACAGGTGTTCTCTTGGGCCAGGGCCCAGTGGGGCAGGACAGTGTACGCAGCAGAGCCTCTGTGCAGCCTCTCGAGAGGCTGGCGGGGGCCGTGGGGGGGTCATGCTCTCTCTGGCTTTGCTTCTCAGCGAACACATGGCAGTAGAATCTTCCTAAAACTTCTGCCTGGAGTTGGGAATGAATAAATGGCCTATGGTGGAGGGACGGCGGCCACACGGGGCCTGCCCTCTGTTCTCTTCTGGATCATGAGAAACTGAGATTCTTCCTTGGGTGGAAGTTCATCTAATTTTGTTTGTAAAATGCCTTTGTACACAGAGGACTGTCATTAGGCTATTCTTAATCATAAGACGACCTGCCATGTCTTTTGTGCAAGTTAATTAGATCTAATCAGTTTGGTCCTGGTGAACGCAGACCACTGAGTAAAATTAACCTCTGAACCACAGTTTCCATCTTGCGTCAACACGTTTCTACAACAGACATTTAAACAAAGATAGCTCCCCATAGCAAGGATTCGTGGGCTCAGAGTTATAAGTCAATAGTCATTAGAACGGTGAAAAGACATTTTTTTAATTTTCACCTAAAGACATTTTTGCATTTATCTTCAGATAGAACAGGAGGGATACAGGAAGAAAGAGAGAGAGAGTAACATCGACATGAGAGACACATTGACTGGTTGCCACCCACATGACCCCAACCGGGGCCGGGGACAAACTGCAGCGGAGGTTCGTGCCCTTAGCGGGAACCGAATCTGGGTCTCTCTGGTCCGCAGGCCGATGCTCTAACTGCTGAGCCAAACCTGCCAGGGCAAAAGACATATCTTAATACCACAGGAGATTTTTATAATGTCAAGACTCAGAATAAGTATAGATTAAGTTTAAATATTATGATAACTGGTTTGTAAATAGTTACTGACTTCCCAAACTAGATAAGTCAGGATGGCTAATTCACTCCTTTCTAATCTTGAGAGCAACAACTTTTTATTCTTTCAAGGATCCTCCAAAAAAAAAAAAACAACCCTGTGACCTCCACTTTCAGCCTGATTACCTGTCAAGGCTGGAACAATAATTTTTAGGGCTTATAACAGTTTTTTCTCATACAGGTAAACTAGCATCCTTGAACCTCAGTTTCTTCATTTGTGAAGCAGGGATAGTAATACCTGCCTCCTGACATGGATTTGGGGATTAAAGGAGAAAGTGAGCGCACGTAGCAGATGGCGGGAGTGTTATACTCAGGAAATATATGCTATGATTAATCTTCATTATTATCCGAACCAAGATTCAAAAGTTATCTAGAAAAAAATAGTGCCAGGACATAGAAAGTAGAGGTGTGATCAGACCTGGGGGACAGCCCAGGTGCCTCACAGCCTGGGCTCTCCTCTGCTGGGCCGTGGTGTCCAGTGACAAGTCGACCTGCTGTCCAGGAGGGGCTGGACCAGACCCGGGAGAGAGGCCAAGGCGGGGCACCTGGGCCGCGATGACCACAGCCCCATCCCTCATCACAGAAGTCCTTCCCCAGGGAGCCCAGAATGACTGGAACCTCCCGACACAGGCCCCCAGGTGGCCTTTGGCTGTGAATTTGCAGTTGGCATGTGAGCTAGGACCATTCACTGTCTGTAGACTGGAGCCTTGGGATCCATATTTATGAACAGATGAATTAGGGAAACAACTCCACGGGATAGTTTCCAAGCTGTTTCATCTTCGTTTTAGAGGATAAACATTTCCCAGTATCACTAACTTCCAAGTACTGACTTGGGAAAGAGCCTTCATGGGGTGGGGGTGGGGTGGCGGTCGGGGGTGGGGGAGACAGGGTACCAGGCCCCCTCCCCCTTCCTTGCCAGACCTTTTAATCTTGCTGCAACCTGCTTCTCTACCCTCTCTGAGACCCAGGGAACCACGCAGGTGAGCAGATGTTCCCCCAAAGATCTGGTCCCCTGGTCTCCGCAGGAGACTCTGAGAATGCGGATTTCTTCCCGTTGTTGGGGTTTCCAGCTAGAGGAACGGGGTAAGCATGTTTTTATTTATGCTTTTCTCAGGCTTCCAGAAGAGCATCTAAAAGCCATACAGGATTATCTGAGCACTCAGCTGGCCCTGGACGCTGATTTCGTGAAGACGGGCTCCAGCAGTCTCCCTCACCTGAAGAAACTGACCGTGTTCCTGTGCAAGGAACTCTACGGGTAATGCAGCCCGCGGGCAGAGGGCAGGGCTGGGGCAGAGAGCCAGCTCGCCGGGTGCCCTGGTGCTTCCCCGGCTGCTCATCGCTCTGCTGCCTGCGCAGAATCCTCGGGCAGTGGGCGGGGCTCAGACATCGTGGTTGTTTCAGGTTTTGTTTTCATGGTATTGAACTGTAGCGCTTGCTTTTTTTTAAAAACCGAAGTTCGTTTGAGGCCGGTGGCTCTGGGAAGGGTGGGCAGGCGGTTCTTTGGTGCTCTCAGCCCTTTCACACTTGCTCAGCATCTAGCACTTCAGACGTTCAGGGCTGATCTATCATCTTGCACCTTCAGCGAGCAATTCAGCAAGCTCGTAGGGTACCCAGAGGCAATCAATGAAAGTCACCCCCTTTTCTGCATGGGTGGTGATGGCCCAAGATGGACAGTTGCTTTTTAAAGTGATAAAGTGACTCAATTCACCAAATTGTCAGTTTTCTAATATTGAATTATTGAATGACCAGTTGATAAAAATTCCCATTTCATCTACTTTTTTTTTTAATTTTACATTTTCATTTCATTTACATAAAATTAATTTGAAGTGTAATTACACTTTAATTGTTAGAGGTGCACAATTCAGGCTTGTCTGCCATCCAAAAAATTAGCAGAAGAATCTTTTAGATGCATTTTTAAAAGCTTAGAAAATAGAAAAGAACGTTCAAAAACATCTGAGAGAAATCACAAGGAGCCAAAGCAATCCCATCATAAATGACAGGTCAACATTTTGATTGGAAAAAATTGCATTTCCTGTGGGTGAGGTTTTTTTCAGCCTCTATACAGATGCAGCAGTTTCGAATTTTTTTTGTCAGTTTCCCCGATGCTATACCCACCATCTTAGCTGAGTAAATATGCAAAAAGAAGAATCTTTCATCATCATTAATCAAATTGAATTTTTCTCTTAAAATCTCTTAAAAGTACAATCAATACATTTGGTAAACTTAACCAATAATTTCTTTGACAAATGGAGCGCTTGGCCGTCAGCTTTTATTTCATTGAATTGGCTTTCCACTAATCCAGTTCCAGTCACTGGGCCTAGAGCCATCATTTATAAATTCCCATGGAGAGATATTTTTCCATTTGCTGCTGTGATAATTTGTTTATCACTAGGGAAAATATATGCACATGACAGTTTCTTATTAACAAACAATTTCATGATGACTGGTTAAATAAGCTCTTATTTCTGCTCTAGTGGAGATCCTGTTCTTTGTAGCTTCCTTGTCCAGAAGAAAATAGACCTTTAAATTTCTCCACTAAGCTTCTCCCATCACTCAGCACATGGGCAGTGTTCCCTGGCATCTCATTGCTACCTGGACCAGGGTAACCTCAGCTTCTGGGACAGCAGCCTCCCCAGTGTGCCTGCTTCTCTGGAACAGTGTGCGAGTGGGAAAAGCTTGCTTTGGCTTCTAGCTGTTCCACGTGTTTTTTTACTGAGCAGAGTCACCTTCCAGTTAGAATTAGAGACACTATGATGTCGCCCCTGTGCACATATTTGTCTTCACCTTCATAGGCAAAGTGATAGCAGGTTTGCAGACTTGGTTAACTGAGAGATGGAATTTTAGAACATCTTAAGAGCAAAACTATGTTCCCACTGCTGGTGCCGTTCCATGAAAGTAACTATAAACTTGTAGTTTTCAAACTGCTTTTGTTGGAACGGGTCCTTAATTCACTCATTCACTCATTCATTCATTCATTCATTCAACATAGGTGTTTGGAAGGCATCTTCTGTTCTGGGTGCTGGGTTACAGCAATAAGCATAATGCACAAGGTTCTTGCTCTTTAGACCTTGTTGGAGTTGACATCTTAGGAAGGAGCGCAGTAGTAGATTAAGTCTGTAAATAAACAAGATCATGTTAGTAAGCATCATGACAAAATAAAACAGGAAAAAGTGATGGAGAGACATTGAGAGGGGGCAGTGCCAGGATCCTCTGCGGGTCAAGGAGACCTCTCTGAGGCAGTGACAGAGCTGGCACCCTGGTGACAAGAGGGAGCTAGCCATCCAGCGATGTGGCAGAGGCATGTCCAGCACAAAGGGCCTGAGGCAGGCATGAGGCAGGCCTGCAAGGAACAGACAGAAAGTGTGTGGCTGGAGCATGATGAGAAAAGGAAAACATTAGGAGCAGAGGTCGGGGAGAGGCGGGCACGCAGCCAAATTCAGCAAATACAACACAGGATGCCCAGCTCAGTTTGGATTTTAGATAAACCACAAATGCTTTTTCAGTATAAGTATATACCATGCAATATTGAGATCTACTTATGCAAGTAGATTATTCATTGTTTATCTGTCATTCAAGTTCAACTGGACATCCTGTGTTACATTGGGCAATGCTAGGCTGAGCCATGGCATGTCCACCTCACAAAGCCCTGCATATATTTTAGGGGACTGTGGAGGGATCCAAGTTGGGGCTGTGGAAAATAGATCCCAGGAGGCAGACCCAAAGCAGGAGACCAGAGTGGCACTACTGTGGCTATGACCTGATGGTGACCCACGAGAAGGAAGCAAGCAGAGGCAGGCATCTCTGTCTGTTTGCTTCCTGCCTAGTCCAGGGTTCAGACGGTGCCTGGCAATAGGAATGGTTGAGAGACGATAGTTAAATAAGCCAAGGGCCTGGGGATGTGCAGGCATTGAGTGACAGCTGGCGTGACCTGGGGTATGTGTGGTTGGTAGGGCTGCCTGATTGGATGTGGGGTGGAAGAGTAAGTAATCGAGGGTGACCCCTAGGTTTTTGGTGTGAGCAGCTGAGTGGATGGTGATGCCAATTACTGAAAAGGTGAAAGTCAAGGTGGAGGGGCTAGAGTTGGGGTGGGGGATCCTTCTCTGGCTACTGTTGGCTTGGGGTGCTATTTGGCATGCTACCAGCTGAGCTGCCAACCAGGGTCCTATGCTAGAAGTTAGAGCCCAGGAGACCTCAGGGCTGGGGTATATGTTGGGAATCATCAGCATACAGTTGGCACTTAAAGCTGGGAGACAGTGGGGTAAGGTCACTGCAGGGAGAAGGGGACCCAGGCTGGACATTCAGAGGTGAGGTGCAGGAGGAGCAGCTGGAACAGGAGTCTGAGGAGGACACCAAAAGTGACCAGGTTCGTCCCCTCTCCCCGCTGGGCACAACACCACGCCCTGAGCGGCGGGCCGGGAGCCTCCGCTGTCCAGGCCCCAGGGCGTCAGCACCTGCGTCTAACGGAGAGTGTCAGAGCTCCAGGAAGATCTGTACCCAGCAGGCTGCTGGACCGCCGGGCTCTTACCCAAAGAGAAATAAAGGATGTGTCACCGGAGCCTGAAAGATCTGCTAACCTGACATGGGAGATGAGGAGAAATGCAAGTGGAATTTTAAAATAAAATGTCACAGACTTCCGGTCAGGATGGCGGGTAGGTAACCCGGTCTCGCCGCCTCCCACAACCACATCAAAGTGACAACTAAACTACAGAACAACCATCCTTCAGAACCACCTGACATCGAGCTGAACGGAAGTCCTACAACCACGGAATTAAAGCAGCAGCCACATCGAGACTGGTAGGAGGGCAGAGGGACAGGCTGGTCCCACACCCAGGTGTGGCGGAGAAAAATCAGGAGGACATCTCGGCTAGGAAGGTCCTCCCTGAGGACTGAGGGGTCCCTGTCCCACACCAGGTGCCCCGCTCAGGGTCCAGTGCCAGGAATAGAATCCCCATCACTTCTGGCTGGAAAAACCAGTGGGAACTGAGGCTCAGGGAGGCTGAGGCTGCTGGAGCCCCAAGCAGCTCCTTAAAGGGCCCGCACATGGACTTATCGGACTTCTCCTTCTCAGCTCAAAGGGGAGGCAGCTGGAAAGGCACTAGAGACATAGAGTGAAAAACTGAGTTGTTTGGCAGCAGGGCAAGAGCTGGAGAGGCAGCTTTCTCCTGGACAGATGTGCTGGCAGAGGCTGATGTTCCTTTGGTGAGCCCTTCCCTGGGGCAGCAGACAGCTACTCTAACTGGGATTCCAGCAACCTGGCTCACACTGGTAGCCCCGCCCTGGTGACTTCCTGAGGCCCCGCCCACCCAACTTTCCAGCTCACCCAAACTATTTTCAATGGCTTTACCATAGGATAGGTCTGTCTTGGATCCTACTTCAGATCTTCCTAAAATCTCTCCAACGAACAGCACCTGGCCTCAGTGAGCCCCATACATCTTGTTAAGTGGCCCGAGGCCTGGCACTAGAAGCACCAGCCTTGATTCACTGCTGGGCTTTGCCTGGGCACCTCCAAGCCCAGCACAAGAAGCAGCCATCTGCAGATCACTTTGTAGCTTATGCCTGGTGGCCACAGGTAGAACATAGGCAGAGGCTGACCTGGCCCCAGAGCCAGCACCCCCGGTGAACAGCTTCAGACCACCTCGAAGCACCACCACCCAACCACCACCACAAGTGACACACTCAATGAGTAGACTCATGAGTACCAGAGCCCTGCTGAAGTAAGTCTTGCTCCGTGTATTGGGCCCCTGTACAGCTGATCCTCCAAGGTAGTCAGAGATCAGTGGTCAGTGGGCACAACCAGTCCTTGCAGCTGATCAGCCTGAGTAAATCCCTCCCATTGATGTGCCAATAGCAATCAAGACTCAATTACAACAGAGGGGTGTACAATCCACACTAGGGGTGCACCTCAAGTGCTCAGCTGGGGTGATCAGGGAGGCTGTGCCACTGGACCCTACAGGACACCTACAACAATAAGCCACCCTACGAAGCCTAGGAGACATAACAACTCTACCTAATACATAGAAACAAACACAGAGAAGCAGCCAAAATGAGGAGACAAAGAAACATGTCCCTAATGAATAAAAAGAACAAAACTCAAGGAAAAGAACTAAACAAAATGGAGATAAGCAATCTAACAGATGCAGAGTTCAAAGCACTGGTTATAAGGATGCTCAAGGAATTTAGTAAGACCTTCAAGGAATTCAAGGAGAACCCTAAGGAACTTAGTGAGAATATCAACAAAATAAAAAAGGACCAGTCAGAAATGAAGGATGCACTAACTGAAATAAAGAATAATTTACAGAGAATCAATAGTAGAGTAGGTAAAGCTAAGAAGCAAACCATCAATTTGGACTATAAGGAAGCACAAAACACTCAATTGGATCAGCAAAAAGAAAAAAAAAATCCAAAAAAATGAGGATAGTGTAAGGAGCCTCTGGGACAACTTCAAGCGTACCAACATTCACATCACAGGGGTGGCAGTAAAAGAAGAAAGAGAGCAAGCAATTGAAAACCTATTTGGAAAAACAATGACAGAAAGCTTCCCTAACTTGGTGAAGGAAACAGACATACAAGTCCAGGAAGCACAGAGAGTTCCAAACAAGATGAACCCAAAGAGGTCCACACCAAGACACATCATCATCAAAATGCCAAAGGTTAAAGACGAAGAAAGAATATTAAAAGCAGCAAGAGAAAAGCAGTTCATTATCTACAAAGGAGCTCCCATAAGACTGTCAGCTGATTTCTCAAAAGTAACTTTGCAGGCCAGAAAGGAGTAGCAAGAGATATTCAAGGTGATGAAAAGCAACGACCTACAACCAAGATTACTTTATCCTGCAAAGCTATCATGTAGAATCGATGGACATATCAAGAGTTTCCCAGACAAGAAAAAGCTAAAGGAGTTCATCACCACCAAACCTATATTATATGAAATGTTGAAGGGTCTTCTTGAAGGAGAACAAAAATATGAACAATAAAATGGCAATAAATACATATCTATGAATAATTGAATCTACAAACAAAATGAGCAAGCAGAACAAAAACAGACCCCTAGATACAGAGAACTTTGTGTTGCTTGCCAAATGGAAGGGGGCTGGAATAATGGGTGACAAAAATGAAGAAATTAAGAAGTATAGATTAGTTGTTAGATTGATGAACTTCAAAGGGAAAGGGGTAGGAAGGGCGGGAAGAGATAAACCAAAGAATTTCTATACATATGTGCATAACCAATGGACACAGACAACAGTGTGAGGAAGGCAGAAGTGGGGCAGGTTGGGGAGGAGGGGTCAATGGGGGAAAAGGGAGGAATGTCTGTAATACATTCAACAATAAAGATAAGGTTAAATAAATAAATATTTTTTAAAAAATACAAATACCAGAACAACCAAATAGCAACCCCTAAACCTCTTCTTATAATGTTTCTAAACCATAAAGGAAGACGAATACAGATAATCAATACTTAGGAACAGCACTATTACTTTAAAAAATTATAATATGTAATATGATTCACCTTTTCTGAGGATACAATAAAAATTCTGAAGCAGCATCTCCAAGGAGAAGACTACGGACCTGGGGTTATCTCAGCCTAGATGGCAACCAAGGTCTTAGTACTAATCACATGCCTCTACCTCAAAAAGGGTCCAAGAATCGCCCCCCACCCCCGAATTTGTGAGTGTTGTGATCCTAAAATTAAGAACCCTGCCACTTACTCAGCAGCTGGACATGGATACACCCAAAGCAAATGTTCATCCTGTCACTCCCAGAACACAATATGGTACAAATAGAAATAAATAACAGAACTAGCCACAACTACTCAACCATCTAGACATTTTTAGACCCTTTCCTAAATAACAGCTGAATTAAGGAGGAAACTGACAAAATGATTGCCTACCTAGAGTAGGTGTGGAACACAGGTGCAGTAAGTCCACAAAACCCATATAAAACATAACTTTTACAAGATTGAGGCCAATTTAAAATGAGCAAATAATTGCTCACCAGTAAATCCTGAAGATAAACTGTTGACTGAGGTAAGCAAAAAAAATGACCAAGGAAAAGATGAAAAAAAGGAACAATAAAAAATTACAAACCAGCCCTGGCCGATTTGGCTCAGTGGTTAGAATGTCGGCCCGTGAATCAAAGAGTATCAGGTTTGATTCCAGTCAAGGGCATGTACCTTGGTTGCAGTTCGTCCTGGGCCCCGGTTGGGGTCATGCAGGACGCAACCAATCGATGTGTCTCTCTAACAACATAGATGTTTCTCTCTCTCTCTCTCTCTCTCTCTCTCTCTCTCTCTCTCTCTCTCTTCCTCTCTCCCACTCTATATGAAGATAAATGAAAAAATATCCTCGGGTGAGGATTAAAAAAAATTACAAATCACTTCATAATGAAATCCAGCCTACCTAGGATAAAAATAACAGAATAGGGGGAAAAATACAGCACCTAGATTAAATAAAAACAAAGCAATATATGAAGAGTTTATATCAGTGTATAAAAGCACTAACAAAATTCCCAACAGAAAACTGACCAAGGACATACATGCACAGTTTGTACAAAGAGAAATACAGTTGCAACCAACCTTGTAGGAAAATACTTAATCACATTAGAAATTAAAGATATGCAAATCAACCCATCAGTATTGAAATGCAATGTTGAGAGAGAGAAACAAGAAAGTAACAGAAGGAATTCAGACAGCACACCTGGGCTTGGACAGTGCTGACGGCCCTGTAATTGGTACCATCGTCGCTCAAAGGCTTGGCAAGCTTGATCACGAGCCGGAGTCTCTGGTTATCCTTAAACAGTATTTGAAAATAAGAAAGGAAAAGCTACATGTACAGAGCTGTTCAGAGCAGACTTTATGATCCCCAAGATCTCAAAATAACCCAAATATCTACAACCAACTTGGGTACATTTACCCCCATTGATTATTTGGAAACTGCTAGAACGTTAACTATGTAAAAACATGACCAGGGTTTGGAGAAGTGAAAAATAGAACTCAAAATTGTCTTCCCACCAAGCTTAAAACAATGTGGAAGCAACGGAAAAGATGGGAAGGGAAGGAAGATTCTGTGAAGTCCTGTTGGTTCCTGGAGGGATTAGACCCCGGAGTAGCTCTCGTGCCTTGGAGGAGGGACCTGAACCGGAAGGCACTGGCTGCCAGCACCGGGAGCTCCTGGAGCTGCATTTAAAATGCAGATTCCAGACCAAATCAGGTTGGGGCCCAGAAATTTGCATGTTTAACGCTGGGGTGTGTGTGTGATTCTTATCAACTGTAAATGTTGGAACCATGGATTACTAAGAAGTGATTTCAAAGAGTTTTTGTGATTGTAGATCCAAATTTTCTATGGGCCATGTATGACTAAACAGAGGTAAATTAGGTCTACAAATCATGACTCCAGCTCGGTCCGGGGTAGGATGGGAAGGAGTAAGGTCTGGGGGTGGGCCAGGGTCTTTGCCAAGGCTTGTTCTGGGAAAGATTCTTGCCTTCACCAGCCGGGGCTCCAGATGGAGCCAGGGATGCCTCAGCCGGGTCCTCACTAATCCTTGACCTTCACCTTGTCCCCTGCCCCCAGAGAAGTCATCCGGACCCTTCCCTCCCTGGAGTCTCTGCAGAGGTTGTTTGACCAGCAGCTCTCCCCTGGCCTCCGTCCTCGGCCTCAGGTAAAGGTTTTGGGGTTGGAAGATGAGTTTGATAAACTGGGGTGGGGGTGGGGCATTGAGGTGACCAGGGTCCCAAGGGCTCAGAAGGGAGCCCCACCCTACCCCAACTTTGCTGGACCACCAGACTGTGCTGTGGGGTGACCGGTGAGAGCCACAGAACTCTGCACCCCGCCCCCGCTAAGTCATTTCCCACCGCCCGATTTTGTTTTGAGGAAGAAATATTTTAAATTATGCCTGCATCAGTAAAACTACTTGTTAGTGCTGAATAAGGCGGCAAGCAGGGACTTTTCCCACCATTTCTCTTCAGAAACTGAAAGAAACAAATGAGGTCTTTAAATGCTTGATCCTGCCTTTGCCCCAGGAAGAGCGAGGCGTCAGGGCCCCTCCCCCTCCCCCTCCCCCTTCCCCCCAGACACCTGCTCACGGCCCAGCAGGGGGCCAAGGCCAGGTCGTCCTTGAACGAGGATCTGTGTACCCAGGTGTCACCAGCAGAATTAAAAGCAAGGAAAGGAATATCTCTGAGAAAGGACTTGCCACCAAGATAAGGAACAAAAGGTTAACATGTTTGTTTTTTTAAAGTCTACAAAAAAAGTTAGTGAAAACAACCCAATTTTTTAAATGGGGAAAGGATATAAAGAAGATTGTTTTCCTGAGGAACTTGGAAGAGTCGACATACACCTGCAAGGATGTTTAGCCTCACCTAGTTAGTAGCCAGAAAAGGAGGAGGTTCCTTCTTGCATGTCAGACGAGCAAGGAGTCGAGGCTTGGCTGTGTGGGCACCGGGGACTCCAGGGGCTCGCTGTTGTCACTGAGGGAGCCCAGGTGGGTTTTCTGAAAGGCGATTTGCATTGTCAGAGAGGGGAGATCATTCACCCCCTTCTGCCCTTCTTTAGTTGTTACGGCTGGACTAGTAATAAAATAATTAAACTGAAACAAGACTAGATCAATAGGAGAAAAACCAGTTTAACGTGTGCGTGCGAGAGACTCCCAGTACGATGCTCAGATCAGAAAACGAGGCTCAAGGAAATGATCGAACCAGGCACCTTTCAGACTTTTCAGACGAACACGTTGGTGAGAAGCGGACAGGACAGAGAAAGTCGCTGCTCGTTAGGACAGCAAGCAGGGCTGGGGCGCGGGCTTGTTCACACAGCTTTCCCGTTACGACGCCTGGCTGGGGGTAAGGCTGTCTCAGCCCTCTGGAGCAGGGACGCACCTGTCCGGGGCGCAGGTGCCGCCTGCTCTGGGGGCAGAGTGGAGAGCTGGGCTCCCCTGGCTCCCGCTGCCTCCAGGTGACTGCAGTTGGAACTAATCACTGGGCCACTATCGTGGGGTGGCCAGCCCCGGGCCCCGACAGCACACGTCCATCCAGCGAGCAGTTCTAAATGTAGGCAGTTTTCTTAGGGACAAAGAGATATCGACAAAAGTGTTCATGCGGCTTTGTCTCTAAAAGCAAGAACACTGGAAACCACACAAACGTAGAGAGTTGTTAAACGAAGGCACGGAATTGTCTACGCTGGAGGCACTGACGTGGCGGGATGTCCCAGCACACTGGAGGGTGGCATAAAGCGAAGGGTGCGACGGTGTACTGGTGTGCCACGGAGGAAATGGCCCAGGAGGGTTTATACCCGAAGGACATCTCTGGATACTGGGGGGGGGGGGGGGGGGGGGGCTTTGGGTTTACTATACAGTGATACCTCGGTTCTCGAACATAATTCGTTCCAGGAGGACGGTCGAGAACCAAATTGTTCGAGGAAATAATGGAAACTGGATTAATTCGTTCCAAGCCCCAGAAAATGCCTATTTACTGGCCTAATTTGTATATAATATGTAGAAAAACATAAGTCTCAACAAGAAATAAAAGTGTACAGTATGTCTAAGGGTTAAATTCAGTGTAAAGCGTGACTCTCTCCACAAAGCGTGACTCTCTCTCTGCACTCCACTGATGACGCGAGCAAGGCGCGCTGGGCCGAATGAACGCCATTCGGCTCAACTCGGCTCATCTCGGAAGTTCGAGTTCCAAATATTTGTTCGGATTCCAAGACAAAAGTTTCTCGAATCTCCTGGTCGAATACCGATTTGGTCGAAATCCGAGGCGTTCGAGAACCGAGGTATCACTGTATTGTTTGAGTTTTTAGTGAGAAAATATGTGTATGTTCTGTTTGTACAACTTAAAGATTCACCACTGGGGTGTGTGTGACGCTTACCGACTGTAAATGCTGGAATCATGGATTACTGAGCAGTGACTGCAGAGTGTTTTGCTTCCCTCCTAGTGAAGCAGGGGTCCACGTCCAGGAAAGTCAGAACAGATCTGGACAAAACACTGGCCGCGTCAGATGCTAAGATCTGAGGAGTTGAGACTGGAAGACCAGGACCCCAGATCTTTGAGGTTGATCAGCAGAGGGAAGGGCCCCCAGGAGATGAGCTGACCGCCGTCGCTCTGCCCTCGGGCCCGGGGGCTGTCGACCTGTGGGGGCACAGCAGCAAGCCGGGAGGGTGGCAGCAGACATGCGGTAGAGAGAAAGCTTTGCTCCCACCCCCCTCTGAGACCCTGACTCGGAGAGATAGCGGAGAACGTCCTCCTTGATGCCTTTGTTCACGCGCGGGGGACGGGGTTCTGAGTCTCCGAGGTGAAAAACGCCGGCCCCTGGATCAGAAACATCTGGTTCAGTCTGAAGTACCCTCAGGGCGCCTTTGTTTCCTCACCTATGACATGGGCACAGAAACACCCAACACTGCAGGGTTGTGTTGAGCAGTAAGGGAAATGGCACGTGTGAGCCATCTGACTGTGCAAGACTCTTTTTTAATTTTTTTGTTGATTTTTAGAGCGAGAGGAAGGGAGAGGGAGAGAGAGATAGAAACATCGATGAGGAGAACATTGATTGGCCGCCTCCTGTATGCCCCTCACTGGGGATCAGGTCCACAACCTGGGCGTGTGCCATGACCGGGAATCACACCGGCGACCACCTGGTGCATGGGTCGACGTTCAACCACTGAGCCACACCGGCCAGGCAAGACTCGAGACAAGCTGGAGACCCCTGGACTCCTGCGTGGCATTTATTTGAGAGCTGCTGGGGGGTACAAATGTAACGTTGTTAAAATGACGGCTGGCCTGAGGGTTGGGGAAAGGCTTGGGTCTGCCCCATGTGGGAAAGGGGAGCCCACATCCTCCTTTGAAAGGTCAACAGAAAAGCAAAGGGAAATAACTCGCCAAGTGGCACTCAGACCAATGCGCCCACTTCTAGGCCAAGCTGTGAATTGTGCCCTCAACCTCTAGTCTAGTGACATTTGGAACTGGATCATTCTTCACTGTGGGGGACTGTCCTGTGCATTGTTGGTTGTTAACACAACCCGGCCTCTACCATTAGACACCATTAGCATACTCCAGTTGTGGCAACCCTGATGTCTCCAGACTTGTCAAATGTCCCCTGCGGGGCAAAATCGCCACCAGCTGAGAACCACTGGGCTAGATCTGCCTTCACATCTCAGGGGTACGCTATTTGTGTGACCTTGATCAAGTTGACTGACCACTCTGACTCTGCAGAACAAGGATTATAAGAATCAATACACAGCCCAGCTGGTGTGGCTCAGTGGTCGAGCATTGACTCATGCACCAAGAGGTCGCCGGTTCAGTTCCTGGTCAGGGCACATGCCCAGGTTGTGGGCCCGATCCCCAGTGGAGGACATGCAGGAGGCGGCCAATCGATGTTCTCTCTCATCGATGTTTCTCTCTCTCTCTTGCTCCCTTCCTCTCTCTCTAAAGTCAATAAAGAAAAAATAAATAAAAAAGAATCAATCCACATGTGGATTAGATAAGTGAATACATTCAAAATATGCTGGCCATAGCATAAGAACTCACCCCACCCTCATGTGTGTTCCGCTAAATAAAAACCAGGCACATAGCCGGCCCACGAACTCACCCTGGTTTGTCAGGAACTTCACTCACAGCTTGTGAGTCTTTGCCAGACCTGCTCCAAAAGACACATTCAGCCTAAAACTGCCGGGTGCCTGCCCAGGTAGCAAGCAGGTAATTCCAAGTGTCCAAGAGGGAGGTTAAGGGAGTTGAAATCTGTTATCTTTCCAATCCTTTATGAGAAAAACAACCCCTAAAACAAGGGGATCCTGAACTGTCTCATCTATTGACCAATGTAGTCAGAGAAAGTGTTGACAAATACGACAGTGATAGTTGTGGGCTCGATGGCAAGTGGTTGGAGGTGGTAGTGACGACACTGATGGAGGTGACAGTGGTCAGGGGGGATGGTGGCATGCTGCCGATGGTGGTGTCGGAAGTGGTGGTTGGTTGCTGATGGCAGAAGTTGCATGCTAAGGTGGTGGGTGGAAAATTGGGGTCAAAAGCAAGCATAACCTGGCTGACTTGGTAAGCAAGGGGTGGAGTCAAGGGCCATCACCTGGTTGGATTGAAGATAACCCTCATCCTGTTCTGCTTGGTGTTCAAGTTCACCACACACATGTCTGATTGTCCTTCTGGAGCCAGGGGTGCCTTATAGCGCTATACCTCCGGCACTGGCAGTGTGTCTGGCGCAGAGAGTCACTTTATAAATGTTTGTTCTGGGAATGCGTGCTGGAGATGTGGACTCGGTGCCTCGGGGCAGGCGTCACGCCCTGCTCTGCCGTTTACCGGCTGTGTGGCTTCCAACAAGTGACTTGGGCTCTCGGCCGCGTGTCTGCGTTGAACACCTGCACTGAGTGTCTCCTCTGGCCAGGCGCCGTTCCAAGCACCAGGGTTGCAGCACTGGTGGCCTGGTGGCGACTTGAGCTTGGTCAGGGAAGACCGCTTTGTGGACCTGAGACCTGAGTGACAAGAGGGTGGCCTTCCCGGGTGAACCCCATGTCTCTGGGGATTCCTCAGGAAGTGTAGCTCGAGGCCATGGGCAGAGCAGAAGTGAGGCTGAGGACGGCTGGGGGTGGAGGGTTAGGCCAGAGAGTCTTGGAGGGCAGGGTAAGGACTTCGGATAACTCCCTCCCAGCGGTGGGCAGCGACTCGTTGAGGGCTTTCAGCAACGGGGTGGCTCTATTTTGGGAGAAGAGCGGAAGCCGTAGGCGTAGGAGGAGGAACGTAATCATCAAGGCCAATCCTAGAGTTTTGTTTAAGCAATTGAGTGGATGAGGTGCGAAGTTCTGGGGGAGAAGCAGATTTAGAGGGAAGAAAAAATGACTTATGTTTTGGCCATGATACCTGTGAGGGGATTGGCAATGTCCTTGATGTGTTCGTCTGCAAAGGGGCCTGATAATAGCACTCCTGGGGTTGTTGGGAGGGTGAGATGAGATGAAGCACAGAAAGCACTCAGTGCTGCCCCTCAGTGGCTGTCCTTTGCTCATTTCCTCATCTCCCAGGTGCCCGGTGAGGCCAATGCCATCAACATGGTAACCAAGCTCAGCCAACTGACAAGTCTACTGTCCTCTATCGAAGATAAGGTACTTGGGGCAGGGGGTTCCTGCAGCTTCTCTTTGTCCCCTCTTTGCTCAGAGAATGCCCAGGGGTGCGGGCTCAGTCCCGAAGGGTGCTGCCTGCCCTTCGCCGCCCCACCTCAAGGGCTCTGTGCATCTGTGCCCACAGGTCAAGGCCTTGTTGCACGAGGGACCCGAGTCTCCCCACCGGCGTTCTCTCATCCCTCCGGTCACCTTCGAGGTACGTGGCTGTGCCCTTGTGCTCCGCAGGTGGAGGCTGGGGGACATTCCGGTCCCTGTGGAAGGAGGGCTTTAGGCTCACCTGTACGAGGTCTAGGAGCCCAGTGACTGAGAATGGCGGTCAGTGGAGTCCCCTGTGAAGACGCTGCACCGTTAGGATGGGCATCCAGGTGAACCCGTGAAACCTCCTCCGTGGGGAGGCCCCCCAGGAAAGAGGCTCTGGGCGAAGATGACTTAAACGTCGTCCTTCTCAAGGGGCGGTAGCGAGTAACATCAAACGGGGCTCCCCAGCTGGCTGCACATCCCTTAAGGGGGGGTTAGGGAAAAAATGCATATCTCACGACTTCCCCTGGAGTGACTGAATTAGAATCTCCAGGCTCCGGCCCAGAAGTTTGTTTTTCTTAATTATCCCCAGAGATTCCGATTGCAACCCTGGTCCCACGTTCAGAAACACAGAACGAGATGCCATCCGCCCCTCGCCCGCTGATAATTCTGTATTACGCTATTTCTATGTTCCGAGCACGGCAATCGTCTTTTTCCTAACTGCCATCAGCCAGTGTTCAGTGTTGGCTGTAACCAGGCCCAGGAGCTTCAATCTATTAGTAAAATCCTTTCTGGACGTAGATGACGTCAGGTTAATGAGTGTTGTCAACTCATTCAGGGAACGAACAGTTTTCCAGTTGTTCACTGGTTTCCTCAACCAAACCTGCTGGAAGAAGAGCCAGTGTGCACCGCGGGCGGGCCGGGCTCCTTGCCGCCTCGCAGCCACTCTCAGGAGCTGCGGTGGGAGCTGCGGGGTGTGGCCCGGGGGGAGAGAGTTTGGAAATAGAAGCCAGTGTGCGCACTGCTCCTTGCCACTCTCAGGAGCTGCGGTGGGAGCTGCGGGGTGTGGCCCGGGGGGAGAGAGCTTGGAAACAGAAGCCAGTGTGCACACCGCGGGCGGGCCGGGCTCCTTGCCGCCTCGCAACCACTCTCAGGAGCTGCGGTGGGAGCTGCGGGGTGTGGCCCGGGGGGAGAGAGCTTGGAAACAGAAGCCGGGGGCCCAACACGTGGCACCGAGGCTGGACTGGCCAAGGGCTGCCAGCCATACAGATGAGGAGCTCATGGAAGCCTGGACAAAGAGGACCAAGCTCTCTCCCCCTCCCCCTCCCCCTCCTCTTCCTCTTCCTCACAGGTGAAGTCAGAGTCTCTGGGGATTCCTCAGAAACTGCAGCTCAAAGTCGACGTTGAGACTGGAAAACTGATCATTAAGAAGTCCAAGGATGGTTCTGAGGACAAGTTCTACAGCCATAAGAAAAGTAAGACCCCCACACCCATCATGCCCTCCTTCTCCTGGAGAGTCGTTCTGCCCTGAGACACGCAACGTTGGAAAGTCTTACAAGGCTTCGTTCAAAGAGAGCATCCTAAAAACCTGAAAGCAAAAGATAGAATTGCAGGCTGGGTTGGGGGTCCCCAAGGTCACCTCCAGGGTCAGTGGTTCACCAGGAGGCTCACAGGGCCCAGCATCGAGTCACACAGCTATGATGTGTCGCAGCGAAAGGGCACAGAGTGGAATCGGCAAAGGGAAGGGCACGTGCGCTAACATCCAGGGGACGCCAGGCGCGGCTCCCAGGAGTCCCCTCCCTGTGCAGGCCCCCGGGGCACTCCATTCCTCCAGCAGCACGGTGTGGACACCGAGTGAGGAGCTGTCTACCCGGGAAGCTTGTAAAGCTCAGAAGAGACTCAGGGGCCAAGGCTCCTACTGGGTTAGTCGTGTAGACGCCCTCTGCCTGGCGCCTACCCGAGTCCCACGCCCGGGAGAGCGGGTGTTCGGCCGGCACCACGTTGTTTGTACTGTTTAGGCACAGTGAGCAGCTCTCAGCTCCAAGCCGGACGCCAGCCCAGGGCCACCCGAAAGCAGCCGTCCGAGGCCAGCACTCAGGCTTGCGTGTGAACGCTTGTGCTGCACGTGGGTCGGAACAGCACTGAGTGGCTCAGCAGCACTGCTGTAAACCTGAGACGACAAAACCAGGTCTCCAGGGGCCGAGGAAAACTGTTCTGAACTTAGGGTTCTGTTCGTGAGGCCTGAGGGTAGAGTTTTCAGACATGCGAGGCCTCACACATCTATCACCCATCCCCCTTTCTTGGAAAGCTACTAGAAATGTTGCTCTACCCAAACGAGGGCATAAACCAATAAGGAGGAAGACATGGGATCCAAAAACTGGAATGCAATACAAGAGAAACAGAGGTGAATGGGTTCCTACATGGTGGACAAGGAAGGCCCGTAGGTAATGGCTGTGTGTCAGGCCTAGAGGTCACCTGTCCAGAGAAGAGAAGGCCCAGGGAGAGGCCCCCCTAGGATGACAAAACTGATGAAAGTGCTTGATCATGGGGAAAAGAGAGTTACAAACTAAGAGTTAGGACCAAAGAAAAAATATGGCAATTATTAACTCCAGGAAAAGCAAAAGGCTATGTAGAGAAACAGTCAGGACTTGTCTGTCAGTAGCGTTTCCATAGTCAGAATAAAAAACACTGGCTACTCACCCAGCCAAAATGATGATGCAACTATTGGGAGGATGATGGAGGAACTGACATTATGCATTGGTTGGGGGAGGGCTGGTGAGAGGGAGACAGGCTGCATGTGTGAAAGACAGCTGTCACTCCATCTTCCACAGTGCAGTCAGTATACAATAGGAAATGTTGAAATACTTAAACCTGGAACCCCAGGAGTAGCAACATAGGCATGTTATTTAGAAAGGAAATGAAATTCCAAAAGACTCCGTTAAGAGGGTTGAAAGTAGCTGCCTCTGGGAAGCAGAACATTGGGGAGGGGGGTGTTGGTACCATTGTGTGTACAAATCTTGTAGAACAACTTGAGCCCTTTCATCACTGATAGAAATAAAACATGTTCATTTATATCTGAATGAAAAGCAAAGCCAAAGGAGGTAGGGAGGAAGACAAAGAGAAAAATAAAGAGCAGGGAAGGAGGAAGGAAGATGAAATGATAGTCATGCTCTTTCTGCTGCAGCCCGGGCACCTCTTGCTTAATGAGACGTCACCCTTTCCAAACATGAGCTTCTCCCCAGAAGACCAGCCAGGAGCAAAGGGATCTCAGGGGCGAGGCACAGATTTGGTGCTCTGCCCGGGGATGGGACAGCTAGGGTTGTTGATGGTCAGGGGCCAGAATACAGTGGGCATTCTACATATTAGGTGATGAGAGGGTGAACGAATGAGTGGACGTGCATTTCTCTTAAGTCCTGCAGCTCATCAAGTCTCAGAAGTTTCTGAACAAGTTGGTGATTTTGGTGGAAACAGAGAAGGAGAAGACCCTGCGGAAGGAATATGTTTTTGCTGACTCCAAAGTAAGTGACAACAGACTCCTGAGGTGGCCAAGAGGGGAGTGAGGGACGAGCGAGGGACACGTTTCCCGAGGTGGGCTCTGTGCCTGGAAGGTCGTACCACGTGCTCGCTCAGCTCTCACACCCCATTTCCCACCGGCGAAAGCTTGGCCCAGGCTGGTGAAGGGACATGTTCCCCCAGCTGGGATTTGAGCTGTCACAGCCCTGGCATCTTGTCCCTCCTCCATGCCACCTGCCTGAGATTGCACCCTTCATCACCCCCATTGGGAGGCCTTTAGCTTCTCTGGGCTGTACTCGGAAGCGCTCTGGGGCACCCCAGAATTAGATGAGTCCCACCCAGTGCTCTGTCCCCTTCTACATGTGGCCCTACTCTGCAGAAGCGAGGTGCCCTGCAGGACTGGCTCCTGAAATAAGAGGTGATGGGCCGATGGAAGACCTCAGGGTCTTTGGGCATCACATGGGCCCCTGTACAGCCAGAGGCAGGGTTTTCTGTGACCTGCTCCCCTCTGACATGCTGCCCAGGGGCTGAACCCCATCGTCGCAGCCTCAGCGTTTATCCTCTAGTGCACAGCACCTAGGAGGTGGGACTCAGGTCTTCCAGGACCCTGACACCATGATAAGGCTGGGGGACACGGGCTCTCAGGACAGGTTCACAGGGACAGCCCCCACCAAGTGCCCTGGGGGCAAACTGGCAGGGCTGGGCTGGGCACCCAGAACAGCCCGGGGGCGAGGAGGAGTGATACGGAAGGGGCTGGGAGAAGCAAGGAAGTGGGGGCCAGGCAGGTGACGGAAGGCCTGGCTGGGGGTCGTTCTGGGCACAGGGACATAGGTCCAAAAATCAGTGCTGCCCAATGCTACAAGCTCAGAAGGGCTGAGACATGGTAGTAAACTGAGGTCCAGAGTTTTGATCCATCCCTGCTAAAGGCAGGTTTCCAGGGTAACTAAATAGACTACCCAGGAGGCTCTGGCAGCCTCCTGCGCTCTTTCCATCGGTTTCTTTAATCTGAGTTGTCTTTCATTTCACAGACAGTCTAGTGTCATCAGGGGAAAAGTTAGAAATAAGCAAAAGGTTTCAAATAGAAATGCCTGGATACCACTAGAGAACCTGGGACAGCGTCCTTCAGGGTGGTTTTGTGTTGTTAATACACATGTGATGATCCATTCTTGTTGATAAGGTCTTTCTGCAGCACAATTTCTAAACCTTACGGTATGCCAGTCTATGGATGACCCATGATACCATAACGAATGCATGTCCTGAGAGTGGACTCTAAGGCAGCTTCTCATTTTCCCGGGATCTAAACGCGGGCTGCACTTCCCGTGACATGGCTGAGTCTTTGCCCGGTGCCTGAATACTTTCCGAGTCTGCTCCTCGCCGCGGCTCGGCGGGGTCACAGAGAAGCCCCTTTCTTAGTGCCGGGGCTCCTTTCCCGCTTGCCCTCCTGGAAGTTCCTACTGACTTGCACTCCTCAGTTTTCTGGAAGCTGCCCGAGCGTCTTGCAAGGGCAGTGTGCGGGGCAGAGGCCTGAGTGTCGCCCTTCCATCCCTAGAAGCGGGAGGGCTTCTGCCAGCTCCTGCAGCAGATGAAGAACAAGCACTCGGAGCAGCCGGAGCCCGACATGATCACCATCTTCATCGGCACCTGGAACATGGGTGCGTCCGCTGCCGCCCCTCGCTCCTGTCCCTCCCCTTGGGTTCTGCTTCCTGTCTCCCTGACCCCAGCCCACCTGCACAGCCTCCCTTCTAGGGAAGAGCACCCTTTTCCCGAAATGATGGATAAGGGGGCTTTCATACCCCAAAAGCCGCCTCAGTGGGTTGTGTTGCAGGTCCGAGGTGGAGGATATTAGGTAAAGAGTCCGCACATCTGGGCGAAGGGGCCCTTGGGTACCTGCCCGTGTTAGGCAGCTCAGCCCCCGGCCCAAAGAAAGAACTTCCTGGAGTGGCATTGCCAGACAGAGACGGACAGAGACAGACAGACACAGAAGAGAGAGACGGTGCCCAGTTAAATTTGAATTTCATACAAATAAGAAATAATTTTTCAGTATAGGTGTTTACCTAGAAATACATACATACATACTAAATAGATATTACACTAAATGGATATATTATATATTTATATACTAATATATATTATATACCAAATGTATAAATATAATATACTGAATGTAAATTATGCTAAATATTTAGTGTGGCTGTGCAGCTGGGAATATGTACTAGATGTATACCAAATATATATTCTACTAAATATTGTGCAAGATACACATATACACATATAAATATACATATACATGTATATTTACATACTAACTGTAAATTATGCTAAATAACTATTTATTGTAAGTACCCAGCTAGGGATGAAAAATAAGTAGATATAGGATGTCCAGTTACATTTTGATTTCAGATAAATAGATTTGCGTGGGATGTACTTATTCTGAAGATTAGCCTTTGTTTATCTGGAACTGGAATCTGACTGGGCATCTGAGAGGAAGGGGGTGAGCAGCAGGAAGGGGATGGTCAGCGAGGGGGGGTGATCTGGAGGTGAAAACGCCATGGCCTGTTGGCTGAGTGAGGGCTCTGACCCCGATTCCACAAGCTGCCCGCCCTCTCTGGGCCCCAGCAACACCTACAGGACTGGCCTATGCCCTGGGCTCCTGCCCGCTCGTCTGTCCTCTCCAGTGTCTCTGACTGACCCTCAGCTCGCCAGCTCTCACGCTGGGGCACGCACGGGGCACACGCCCCTCCCACCTTCTCCTCTGTGAGCACCGAGCTCTAGATTTGGCTGGGCATGGTGAAGGGCATCCTGTTGCACCACTCCAGGGGGCGCCCTTCACACCGAAGGCAGTGTAGAGGCGCTGGCGACTCCAGGGTGGGGCGGAGGGTCTCCCTGGGCAGAGACCGCCAGCCCGCCGTGTCTGTCCTCCCACCGTGAGACACGGTCGCGAGCAGAACTCAGCGGCAGGCGAGTTACTTCGGTTTTCGGCTTTTTGGGACTTGTGAGCCGAGAAGGTTGTGTCTTTGGGGGAAAAGCTGAGTTACCTTCAAGGACGTTGAGAGGAGAAAGAAATCTTCCATTGTTTCTCATTGAGTTACTTCGAATCCTTTTTCGGAGTGGGAGTGGAGGGGATCTCCACACTCCCCCCGATTCAGTGGCCCACACCCCACATCAGACCTGGACTGAGATCTCTCTTCTGCAAGGAAGCCATTGTTTCTCCCGACCGCGGCTAGAAGCCGGGTCCCAAACCTGTCAGCTTCCTGGGTCGTCCCGACAGCGGGATGCATAGTCCTTGGGGACTGACTCCCTCAGCCCTGTAGCTTCAAACACTAGCCGGTGCTTGACCTCACGTGCAGCTAGTTCAAGACCCCACATGGAACCTTCTAGTGTTTTAGTCTCGGAAAGTTCACATTATCTTAAAAAGAAACTTACCTGGCCCGACATCCTGGGGGATAATAGTACCTAGTTCTCCATCTAAGGTATTCTGTGGGCGGCCTGAATGGTTTCATGTCTGTGTGACACCCCACCCCCACCCCAGTGCTTCCCCCTCTCTGTTTGAATTCTTCTGATGTACCTGTGACTCACTTGGTGTTGGGTTTTGCTGTTGAAGGTAACGCCCCCCCTCCCAAGAAGATCACGTCCTGGTTTCTCTCCAAGGGGCAGGGAAAGACACGGGATGATTCTGCCGATTACATCCCCCACGACATCTATGTGATCGGCACCCAGGAGGACCCCCTGGGGGAGAAGGAATGGCTGGAGATACTCAAAAATTCCCTGCAAGAAATCACCAGCATGACTTTCAAAACGGTGAGCAGCTGTCCACAGCCCTGGGTGGGACTCGGGGCAGCGGACCGTGCAAGGCCAGGGACATCGCAGGCAAGGGTGGGCTCCGCGTGTTGACTCTCAACTCGCAAAGGTGCCTGGGTGCTCAGTGGTCCTGCCCTGCCTCCCAGGGCGAGACTTCTGGAGCCTGAATCCAGAATCCGATGGGGCCCGTGGGCGCTGCTGAAAGTGGCGGGGTCCCCCCTCAGCCCTGCCTGTACTTGTATTATCTTTACTTCATCTATCTCGTCAGGCCTGGCTCTCGTCTTTAAGATACTTAGTCTCATCTGTGGGACATCTCAGGAGTCCCCCAGAGCTCAGGGGTGACAGACGGGGAATCCCACACCCGGGAGGTGAGGGCAGGTGCGACTCTCCTGCTCTGGGGTCAGACAGTACGCCCTGGCCCAGGGTCACAGCGTCGTCCTCCCCACCAGATCGCCATCCACACCCTCTGGAACATCCGCATCGTGGTGCTGGCCAAGCCGGAGCACGAGAACCGGATCAGCCACATCTGCACTGACAACGTGAAGACGGGCATCGCCAACACGCTGGGTGAGCGGGGGAGGGGCGCCTTCTTCATGGGCGTCCATCCCGTCCAGCCCCGCTGGGACGTCCCGGATTAGAAACTAAGTCTCACATGCTGGGATCCCCTCGGGCCTGGGAAAACCGGAGTGGGTGACACCAGCAATCTATGGATCCGGCTGAAAGGCGGGTTTTGACTCGGCAGGTCTCAGGTGGGGCCCGACTTTCTGTTTCCCACAAGCACCCGGGGGGGTCAGTGCTGCTGGCCCACAGGCCCCTCCTTGAATGACAGGGACCCAGGACAAGGGCCGGCAGACTGGCTGTGAAGGAGCAGAGAGGCTTTGTGGGCCGCAGGTCCCTCCTCTGTCACACAAAAGCATGACATGAACGGGAGGGGTTTCTCCGTCAACCTGATCCACCACAGGCCGTGGGCTCGAGGTGACCACAGGTGGTCGCTGCCCACCGGGCCTGGATCTGGACTGGCTGGGGCGGGATGTGGACGCGCTGGTACCAGCTGCGAGCCAGTGGGACCCCTCGGGGTGCCTCAGAGAACCGCAGTAAGAGCAGAGGACCCCGTGAGTGTGTGCGGGAGGCCGTCTGTGGGAGTCTGCCTGCGTGCCCGTGGCAGGGGCCCCACACGGGCCGTGGGCAGAGGTGAGGGCGAGGCCAGTGGTGTCCGGGGGTTGGAGTCAGGGACAGGACAGCCCCAGAGAGAACAGGACAGAATTGCTGCAGTTGAACATGGGAAGCTCTCAACTTTGCTGCTGACAAACCACACCCCACCCACGTCCTCACCTCTTATCCCTTCCTGTCACAGTGGCCGCCTTGCTGTGAAGCCCACACACTTCTGCTGCCCGGGGACGGAACTTTCTAGAGCTTGTTCGGTGTCTGCCTGGGCTGCCCACCGCCCCCACTCGCCCCTTCCCAGGGAGGCGGAGCCAGCAGGTCCCCAAGGCCCTTTCAAACTTGTGCCCTGCCTGGCTTTCGGCCCAGACAGAAGGGGAGCCGGGTGGGGCTTGACGCTTTCTAGTAGCCGCATTAAAGAAAGGAGAAGGAAACAGGCAAAGTCAATTTTAATAATATATTTTATCCAACCTCATACATCCAAAAGATTGCCATTTCTTTTTTTTTTTTTTAAGGAGTGTTTTTTGTTTTTTCTTATTGATTTTTAGAGAGAGAGGAAGGGAGAGGGAGAGAGAGATAGAAACATCGATGCGAGAGAACATCGACTGGCCCTGCATGTCCCCCACTGGGGATCAGGCCCACAACCTGGGCACGTGCCCTGACCGGGAATCGAACCAGTAGCCTCTTGGTGCAGGGTCGATGATCCACCACCGAGCACACCGGCCATGTAAAAGCTCACCATTTCGCCCTGGCCAGTTTGGCTCAGCAGTTAGAGCGTCGGCCTGCGGTCCAGAGAGACCCGGGTTCAGTTCCCGCTAAGGGCACGTACTTAGGTTGCAGTTTGTCCCCGGCCCTGGTTGGTCGTGCGGGTGGCAGCCACTCGATGTGTCCCTTCACATCGATGTTTCTCTCTCTCTCTCCTTCCCGCCCTGTCTGTACAAAAAATGGAAAAATATCCTCGGGTGAGGATAAAAAAAAAAAAAACTCGCCATTTCAACAGGTACTCAGTACAGAAAACCATCAGCGTTTCATCCTGTTTTCTCCAAGGCCTGTGCTCCCACACTTACAGTTCCTCTCAGTTCGGATCAGCCACGTCTCAAGGGCTCAGTCACAGGCTGGGGGCTGCCGCGTTGGACAGAGCAGGTTCTCGGACTTCACGGCCGCCCGACTCTCTCAAGGGCCAGCTCGGTGTGCGGCTCTGCAGCTGGCACACCGGCGCAGCTGCTCCGCCCTGCCCATGGCTGTCGCTGTGTGCCCTTAAAGCAGCGGTCCTCAACCTGTGGGTCGCGACCCCTTTGGGGTCGAACGACCCTTTCATAGGGGTCGCGTAAGACCATCGGAAAACACATATTTCCGATGGCGATTCATAACAGTAGCGAAATTACAGTTATGAAGTAGCAACAAAAATCATTTTATGGTTGGGGGTCACCACAACATGAGGACCTGTATTAAAGGGTCGCGGCATTAGGGAGGTTGAGAACCACTGATTAAAGTGTTCTCTGTGGATTCCGAAATTTAAATTTTAGATCATTCTCATGTGTCACAAAATACCCTTCTTTTAATTTTTTCCACAACTCTTTATAAATGTAAAAACCACCCTGGCCGGTTTGGCTCAGCGGTTAGAGCATCGGCCCGCGGACCAAAGAGTCTCAGGTTCGATTCTGGTCAAGGGCACATACCTTGGTTGCAGTTCAGTCCCTGGTCCTGGTCAGGGTCACGCAGGAGGCAACCAGTTGATGTGTCTCTCTCACATCAGTGTTTCTCTCTCTCTCCCTCCCTCCCTCCCACTCTATCTGAAAATAAGTGGAAAAATATCCTCGGGTAAGGATTTTTAAAATAATAATAAAAATGTAAACCATTTGCAGCTGGCAGTGGGCCAGCGTTTGCCCACCCCTGACCTAGAGGGCTTGGCAAACCCTGAAATTTCTGCGCCCCAGAAATTTCGATTCAGCAGGTGCAGGGTGGGGCCTGCGAACATGCGCTTCCCACACACTCCCAGGTAACACTGACCTGCAGGGCCGGGAGCACCCTTTGAGAACCATGGGTCTAGAAGAGAGTGCAGCTGATAGGAAAGGAGGTGGTCTCGGCGCGGGTTTTGGTCTCAGCAGGAGCCCGGAGTTAGCTGGGTACAGGGTCAGCCCTCCCAGCCCGGCTCCTCCTCCCAGACCTTCTTCCCAAGGCCTCTGGCTGCTACTCCTCCTCCTGCCTGCATGGCATGTGGGGTGACTGGGAGCCCCATATGGGGAGATGCCACGTGGGGTCCATTGGTGGCCTCCTCCCTCGGTCCTGCAGAGAACCCAAGACTGCTGGCCATTCACCTCGCTTTCTTACCATCCCGGAGGAGTCTTGTCCCCCTGGTCCCCGTCACCTGTCACCTCCCTGCCCCTGCATGAAGCTGTTTTGCTTCCTTCTCCTCCACTTTCCCACACCTGCTTCTGCCCCTCTTTCTTCTCCTTGATGTCCCGTCGCGTGGCAGGTTTGCCCGTTTACATTGACGTCTTCTTTCTCCCCGGCTTAGGGAACAAGGGCGCTGTGGGCGTGTCGTTCGTGTTCAATGGAACCTCTTTGGGGTTTGTCAACAGCCACTTAACTTCCGGAAGCGAGAAGAAACTCAGGTAATAGCATTGGTTCCCCGAGAGTCTGTGTAGGGTTGTTTGCCCAGACAGACTGATGCCAGGCACTCGGGCCTTGGCTGGGACCCTGTCCCGTAGGCCTTTGGGGGCTTTCCCCAAGGTTTCTTCCTGCAACCCAGCAGTGACCTCCTGTGTGGATGGATCTCATCTGAAAAGCAGAACACACATTTCCTGTGCCATTAACTTACTAGACACCTGAATACCACTTCTTTCTAAAGGAGAAAACCTCACTGGGGCACACTCACAGATGCCTGTCGGTGGTCCCGTCATGAAGACAGCCATCTAGAATATTCTCGGTTCTCATGCCCGCTGGACACATGCTCCGGGGCCCAGGCCGTGGTCTGCTGCAATGGGGGTGCCCCACCCCCACGCCCCTCTGACTTCCCTCCAGGGTGGGGCAGGGAGCCCTGTACTAAGATGCTGCTTTGTCATTCACTCAGGCGAAACCAGAACTACACGAACATTCTCCGGTTTTTGGCTCTGGGAGACAAGAAACTGAGTCCCTTTAACATCACTCACCGCTTTACCCACCTCTTCTGGCTCGGGGATCTCAACTACCGTGTGGAGCTGCCCACCTCAGTAAGGAGTTGTCCACCTGGGGCTGGGGCTGCCCACGTGGGTGAGGAGCTGTCCACCTGGGTGAGGCGCTGTCCACCTGGGTGAGGAGCTGTCCACCTGGGGCTGGGGCTGTCCACCTGGGTGAGGAGCTGTCCACCTGGGTGAGGAGCTGTCCACCTGGGGCTGGGGCTGTCCACCTGGGTGAGGAGCTGTCCACCTGGGGCTGGGGCTGTCCACCTGGGTGAGGAGCTGTCCACCTGGGTGAGGGGCTCCGCCTGGGTGACGAGTTGTCTGACAGGGCTGGCCTGCGTGGACAGAGGCTCCCTTGCGTTAGCTCAGGGCAGAGGCTCATGGAGACACACAGACCATGCTGGGCAAGGCAGCTACTCCCGCTCTGAGCCTCAACACTGTTCCACTGCGGAGCGCCTGCCTTCTTTGCAGTTTGCCTGTGCTCGCGCCTAGTTCCCCTTGACCGTCCTGGCTGCCCCTCCTCACCCCCTCTCTGCCACTCTGTCCTCCAGCTGGCGGGCAGCAGCCCCTCAGCCTGTCAGTCCCAGATCTCCAGGGAAGGCAGAAGTCAGGCTCAGCAGCTCAGTTTTCTCCCCGTATCTCAGGCCCAGCCTAAGGAAGTGATTCTTAGTTGGACACCTCCCCTTGTCCACTGAGCAGTGGTCAGGGGGCCATGTGGCACAAACGCAGCCTTGTGCTCTGGGAGGGAGAAGGTTTTCCTGGGGAGGGGGGTGGACAGGCACGGCACTGGAAGCACCTAGAACCAGAGATGGTTGTCTTCGTACTCCTGGAAAGATGGGGCCGGAGCCAGGCCTGGGAGCGAGCGGAGCCCGTCTGCCCAGAGTCCTTGGTTGCCTGCCTGGTGTGCCCTGTCTAGCTGCTGTCCTGTGAGGGGGAGGGGAGAGCGGCCGAACGTGACCCACTTTTACAGAGCAGAGAGAGCCCAGGACACAGACAGGCCAAGAAAATGGCCTTGGGTTCGTTACAGATCGCTGATCGAGCTGGAGCTGACCCAGAGCTTCCCAGCTGCCCATGTCCCTCGGCTGCCTCGGCCTCCCGTGGCCGCAGCTCTGCCGAGACCCAGGCGCTTAGGGCCCTTGCGTGCCCATCACCACTCCCCAACCCCTCCCTCCCTGAAGGTGCTTCTCCTGGCCACTCTCCTCCTCTCGCTCCTACTGAGCAGGCAGATGGGAGAGGGGTACACAGGGACCCTTCTCAGTCTAAGGGGCCGTCACGGTCATTCACTCACCAGGTGGTGGCCAAGTGCCCTGGCCAGAGCAGAGGTAACAAGTCTCAGGAGAGGGGACTGCTGGCTTCCAAGGCCATCGCATCACCTTGATGTCATGCCGACTCCCCAGGGTCCCAGCCCAGATCACAAAGACCCAGTGGGATTTTGCAGCCTTTCATGGCCTTGCAACAGGTGGCTCAGTGCCCACAGAGTCAAGAGATACATATCTACCTACCTACTGAAGGGCCTACAAAGTGATATTAAAAGACAGTATGGCTCAGCCGGTGTGGCTCAGTAGCTGAGTGTCAACCCATGCACCAAGAGGTCCCGGTTCAATTCCCGGTTAGGGCACATGCTCAGGTTGTGGGCTCGATCCCCAGTGGGGGGCATACAGGAGGTGGCCAGTCGATGTCTCTCATCAATGTTTCTCTCTCTCTGTCTCTGTCCCTTCCTCGCTCTCTAAAATCAATAAAGAAAAAAAATTAAATTAAATAACAAAAAACCATATGAAAGCCCTGACCAGTTTGGTTCAGCGGTTAGAGCGTCAGCCTGCAGACCAAAGGGTTGCAGGTTCGATCCCCAGCCCCAGTTTGGTTTGTGCAGGAGGCAACCAATCGACGTGTCTCTCTCACATTGATGTTTCTCGCTCTCTCTCCTTCCTTCCCTTCCAATGTATCAAAAAAAAATCAATGGAAAAACATTAGCAACATTAAAAGCATTAACAACCAAAACAAAAAGACAGTATGAAAAGAATAAAATGTCCCTCAGCAAATCTGGAAAAGCCAGGAACCCCTGCAGGGTTTTCCCTAGAAAATGGTTGAGCTGAGAAGCAACAGCGGGGCAACCCCAGGTGGGGGCCGGGGTCTGGTGCAGCATCGCGGAGGATTTGGGGCCTGGGGCAGCAGGCGGTGACATGCCTCCCGGCCGTGGGTGAAGGCGTGTCTCACGGTGGCCATGTCCTTGCTGCAGGAGGCAGAGACCATCATCCAGAAGATCAAGCAACAGCAGTACACAGAGCTCCTGGCCCACGACCAGCTGCTCATGGAGAGGAAGGAGCAGAAGGTTTTCCTGCACTTCGGTGAGAGCTGCCCCCTCTCCGGGACCCCCTCCAGCCATCCCCCTGTCTTCCCTTCTCCCCAGATATCCTCACGGTGGGGAGGGTTAGGCCTGGAGAGGAAGGAAACTTGGCCAGATGGGAAACATGGGGACTGAAAGCTGCAATCAGGGTTTTGTTTGGTTTCAGAGGAGGAAGAAATCACGTTCGCTCCCACCTACCGCTTTGAAAGACTGACTCGGGAGAAATACGCCTACACTAAGCAGAAAGCCACGGGGGTGAGTCCTCCTAGACCCCCCCCCCCCGCCCTCGGTCTCCGCCCGCTGGCCCAGCTCACTGCTCTTGTCTGTTTCTATAAAGGTGAACAGATTGGTCCTCGTCCACCAGGCAACCAAAAAGAGAGAAAATTAGAAATCCCCTGTAGATTGTGTCCCAGAGCAAAAGCTCTCGTAAAGAAGGCTAGGCAACCAGATTTACCCGCTGCAGGGAGCTAGACTCGTGACACTCACGGTATTTATCTTCTGTCCAGGGATTCGAAGATTCTGAGGTATTTACCTTCTGTCCAGGGATTCGAATTTCAAGGGTAATTTTCTTAGCCGGGGTCTGAAGCTTACTTAAAAAAAAGTCCTGTGGTCAAATAGATTTGCTAATCTGCCAAGTGAATCATTAAATAAGCTTTTTCGCTGCAGGACTTATCAGAGCCTTTGTGGGCTCATAAACATTGTAGTTCCCCATGAGGAGATTCGGGTGCCAAACTTGACTGGTTATGAGATACCAGCGAACATCGTGTGAGGCCACCTGTGTTCCAAGGAACGGTGTTTGGGGAAAGCTGAAATAAAGCGTTTGTTCATTCTTGTTTGACAGGAATTTACTGCTGGGCTGGGTACTCTGCTAGGTGGTGGGAGGTCAAAGAGGAGTGGGCTGTCTGCCCCCCAGGAGTTTGCAGTAGGAAAGACGAGATAAATACCCCGAGACTACGGCGATGCCGGGTGCAGTGAGGAGCAGTCGAGAGGGAAGGGACCGTTTGGGGCAGGGGAGGGTCAAGAGAGGCTTGTTAAAGAGGGGCCGTGTGTGGTGCCTGGACGGACAGGCTGGTTTCAACAAGCAGACGTGACAAGGGGTAAGGAGGGCTGATGTATTTCCGGTTGAAAGAATTGCCGGAACAGATGCGGAGGCGGGAAATTCTGGCGTCCCGCACCTTCGGGGGACCCGCCCAGGGGAGCGAGCCTGAGTAGGGCCCTGGGGTCAGCGCGCCGAGTGGGGAGTCTCTGGGGCCCCTGGAGGCCTAGGGAGAGGCAGGGCATGCAGAGAGCTGCCCGCGAGCCTTCCGGGCTCAGGGGCACGAGGAGAACTGGAACCAGAGAGAAGGGCCGAGGGTCGGGAAGGTGCCGGAACAGAGCAGAAGTTACAGAGGAAAACAGAACAGAAGCGGAGAGGAGGACACATCCAGGACTGTTGCCACAGGCGAGGCTGAGACTCCTCCTCCCACCAGGGCAGGACACCTTCCGGGGAGGTGTCCGCTGGCCGCTGCGCAGTGGGGTCACCTGGTTTAAGGTACTGTCAGGGCAGGTCCCTAGGGACACGTTTGGGGCTGCTGAGGGGATGGTCATTTGATTTGAGTGTAAGGAGGGTTAGACCGGGGCCGGAGGGAGAGAGGGGTGCCCTGGATGCGGTTCAGGGTTTTGTTGTTGTTGATAAATGTATATAAGGGTTCATGTGAGCCAAACTGATGACGTGTGTTAGGGAGCAAGACCTCAAATGTCCCAGGTAAGGTTTTCGCCTTTCCAGTGGGTACCAGGAAGCCTCCGATGGTCCTGCGGAGGGGCTGGCAGCGTCACCGCGCTGCACAGAGAAGCCTCGTCTGCAGCAGTGTGAGGGTGAGGACCACGCGGGCCCGGGGAGGAGGCCAGGGAGGTGCCTCCTGCTGAGAAATGACTAGGATCTCAATGGGTAAAAAAGAAAAGAAAAGGAGAAAAGCAGGACATATTGCTAGATCTGACTGCCATGGACTCAAAACTGGAAAATCAGAAGGCAAAGCTGGCTTGGAGGGGGGGAATGGAGCTTATTTTTAGACGGATTGTATAATAGTAGTGGAAAATCTCAGAAAACATCCAGAAGGCGGTTAAAACACTAGATGGATGCTAAAGAGAGATGCCAAGGCTGGGTCGTAGATTTGGGAGCTGTCGGCACGGAGTGGACCAGGAGTGAGTGGAATTGAGGAGGGAAGCGGTAGGGACGGGTTCGAGGGCCATCTACGTTCAGAGAGGAGAGGAAGAAGCAGAGACAACGAGGAAGAAACAGAGACAACGAAGAAGATGGAAAAAGTATGCTGGTGTAGGTGGGACCACACAGCTCGGCATCGTGGAGGCTGGGGTGAGAGACTTAGCGGTAACCAGCATGAAATGTGAGTCAGGAGCGTGCGCCATTCCCACGAGCCCTGCACAAGGAGCCGGGCTTGCCACTCGGAGGTTTCAGCGGACTCTGAAAGAACAGGTCTTGGAGGTGAAGTCTAAGGCTGCAGGAGGATAAGGCGGCTCCTTCCCACGGCTGCAGATGAGTCATCGGTGATGTTTTTCTGAAGTGCAGGTGTCTGGGGCTCATCCCCACAGGTTCTGACACAGCAGATCTGGAGTGGGGCCCTACTTTCCATATCTTCGTGAAGCCCCACCGGTGATTCTCTGGGGCAGCCAATGCTGAGAACGTGAGGTTAAGAAATGACAGTTTGGCGGCATGTAAGGAACTACATGTGCATGTACCCCGTGATTTAGCAATTCCACTTTGGTGTGTACACCAAAGAGATGAGTACATTTGTTTGCCAAAAGGCAAATGCAGGAATGGTTATAACAGCTTTGTTTACAATGTCCCCAAACTGAAAACAGTCCTACTTCCTTTAACAGTAGAATAGACAAATGTGGTGTATACTTACGGGGCAATACAACCACCGCAATGGCGTGTAAGAACTTCTATACACAACAACGTGAGCAAAAGGAGCCAGGCACAGAAGATTATACAGTTCACCCTGGAACAACATAGGTCTGGGGGTGCCGACCCTCTACTGTGTAATCAAAAATCTACATAACTTCTGACTCCCCCAAAACGTAACTACTAATATAGTTACTGTTGACCAGAATCCTTACCAATAACATAACGTTGACTGACACACAGTGTGAATGTTATATACTGTATTCTTACAATCAACCAAGCTAGAGGGGAAACAAATGTTATCAAGAAAATACAATTATAGTACTCTATGTGTTTATTGAAAAAAATCTGTGTATGAGTGGACCCACACAGTTCAAATCTGTGTTGTTCAACTGTACGAATGAATCCGTGTGTAAGTGCAAGAGTAGGCACATATAGTCAATGGAGAATTAGTCACAACAGTGTTCACCTCAAGGAGGTGAGTGTTGACAAGGGAGGGACGGGGAACCGTTTGTGATGATGGAAATTTTTTACATCTTGATCTGGGTAGTGGTTAAAGGGGTATATACTAATGTAAAAATTCTTCAGGCTATACATTTAAGATTATTACACTTTATGTAAGTTGTACCTAAAGTTGAAAGAATTTAATGGGAAGTCCAGAAGTAGAGGCAAAAAGAGAACATTCTTACCCTGGCCAGTTTGGCTCAGTGGTTGGAGTGTTGACCTGCGGTCCCGAGAGACCCGGGTTCGGTTCCCGCTAAGGGCATGTACCTCGGTTGCAGTTTGTCCCCGGCCCTGGTTGGGTCATGTGGGTGGCAGCCACTCGATGTGTCCCTTTCACATCGATGTTTCTCTCTCTCTTCCTCTCTTTCCCTCCCACTCTATCTGAATGGAAAAATGTCCTTGGGCAAGTATTAAAAAAAAAGGAAACATTCTTGAGAGAAATTTAGTAAAAAGAGAAAAAGAATTGGTAAGGAGAGGGCAGGGGCGGTCTCCTTTAGGAGGAATACTGTTACGTGTGCAGGCGGAGGAGAGAGCTGGGGCTGAAGGAGGTAAGGGTATTGATCGAGGAGGATTGCTATCATTGTCAGGCGGCCTTGTTTATCACGGCCAGTGCAGGTCTTGCTCACCACTATGGCCTGGAGAGGACTTGTCACAGTACATGTTGTTTGAATGGCCGGATGGGTAGGTGGGTGTGTGGATGTGTGGGTAGGTGGGTGGGTGGGTGGGTGGATGGGTGGATGGGTGGGTGGGTGGATGGGTGGGTGGGTGGATGGGTGGGTGGGTGGATGGGTGGGTGGGTGGGTGGGTGGGTGGATGGGTGGATGGGTGGATGGATGGGTGGATGGGTGGATGGGTGGATGGGTGGATGGGTGGATGGGTGGATAGGTAAGTATTTGGGAAGGTGAATGTGTGAGTAGGTGGGTGAATGGATGAGTGAGTGGGTGGCTGGACAGATAGATGCACAATTGGGAAGATGGATGTGTGAGCGGGTGGATAGATGGTGGGTCAGGTGTGGTGACTGGAGTATGTTATTAAAGTAAGTAACTGGAGAAGGTAAACAGAAACTGGGTTGAAAACAGGTAGAGAGGTTCATCTGAGTTAGAAAACAGTAAGAGAATGTAAACTATTCTGAAACAACGAGGAGACAGGTAGGGAGCACAGCCGGGCGAATCAATCTGTTCTGAAGGTGCGGCGCATGGCAGAGGTCCGGACTGAGGCAGCAGAAAGGGTTGAGGGCCTCCTGTGGGGAAATTCTATAAAGAACCAACAGCAGGTGAATCCAAGGATCCCCAAAACCAGAGTTTATCTTTCCTTTAACTGATATAACTATGTATAGTATTTAAAGTTGCAGGCATTTTAAAACTTGGAACTTTGATTTGCAGATGAAGTACAACCTGCCCTCCTGGTGTGACCGAGTCCTCTGGAAGTCCTACCCGCTGGTGCACGTGGTGTGTCAGTCCTACGGTGAGTGGCGGTTGGCGGTTCTGTGCTCTAAACTAAAGGGCTCTGGTCTGTCCCTCTGTAAAGTGAGAGAGCTCCCTGCAGCCCTTGTCAGGTCACCTGAAAAAAGTGGGTGCCTCCTCTCCCATCTTAGGCGGCAACATGCTATCTTCTGGGTTGGATGGTGGAGCACTTTTAAAGAAATCCATACTTGTCTCCTTGGAAAAAAGCATAGTAGGTTTGAACTCTATAAAGGTGGTGTTTCCGTAGGTCAAATAGTCAAATATCGGAAAGGCACATGGTTCTACCTACTACGCATCATAGTATACATACATGTCATTTGGGAGATTTCAAGATGAAATGAGTTAAACTGAAGAAATAGGCCTAATAGGCTATTTTAAAGTAAATATGCATGGAAAAATTATCAAAACGATTAATAACTTGACCCTAGGGATGGAAGCTGTGCTGCAGGAATTTTTAATCGCTTGAGTGCTTATTCTTGAAAGCTGCTTGTTCGTTCCCATTATCCAGAACTACGCAGAGTTACTTGCAACACTTATGCCCAGACAGCAGCATCCCAAGGAGGGCCGCCCCTGACCCAGCATGCTCCTCATGCGACCACGTCCCTGGCCTGGGACCCCTGACAGGCTGCTGTGACTCGGGCCTGTCCCACAGCTGAGGCCTCCCACCCTGACCCTCCCACCCCCTCCGAGCAGGGAGTCTTGCTGCTGCCCGGTGGCCACCTTCATGGCTCCCCCCTCTCTCTGGGGATCGGCAATGCCCACCTTAACCCACGTCCCATACAGTCGAACTGACTTTCATTGCTTTGTATTATGCCTGCCTCCTGCTGTCCAGAGGGACCAGAGCAGCTACCCTGGGGTAGTTGAAGGCATGCAGGTGGTTTAAGGGAAGGGAAAGTTAAAGATGGAGGGAATTTTGCTAGTGATATTTCACTGAATGCCAGAGGGCACAGTAGAAGGGTTTAATGAATTATTCAATTCAAACCAAGCAAGAACTTGGGGGTGGGGGAAGGAAGGAATGTCCAGAGCTGAGAAAATGGGGGCCCACTGGGAGCTTGCATCTTATGGTGATGACATAAATAGGATGTATCCGTTAGCTATTGCTGCATAACAAACTACCCTAAAACTTGGTGGTGGCTAACAGTTCTCGGGGCTCAACTTGGACTGCTCATCTCTGCTGGGTTCGGTGTCACCCAGGCCCAGAGCCCATTCAGATCTGGGGTTGGCTGGCTGGCGGCAGGGGCAGTGGTGGTAACTCAGCCATGAGGGCTCTTCGTCCAGCAGGCTAGTCCAGGCTGCTTCCTTCTGGTCCTAGAGTTCCCAGCTGCACGCCTCAGATGCAGAAGTGCCTTTTAAGTCTCCGCTTGCCTCACGTTTGCTAATGTCCTAATGACCAAAAGAAATCACGTGGCCAAGCCCAGACTCGCTGTGCTGGGGGAGACACACAGAGTGTGGTTGCAAGGGTCCACCCGCATTCCAGGGCATAGTCAGTGCTATTATGTTCAGCATCTATCTAAAATATTTTAAAGAACATTTTCAAAAACCTTCCTGTCCACCCTGTAACTTCTCGCTGGGACACCCCCTCTTCCATGGCCACCATAAATGTGTAGCCCACACACAGCCCGACTGCCCATCTTCCTCTCTGCTGCCTCACGCAGCACCGAACCCTCACTGACTTCCTTCTGTCCGTGTCCAAACATGTTTCAGGTGGGGGCCCCTCCTGCCCTCTTCCCTCCTGTCTTAGGGAAGGGGTGTCCCCCTTCCTGAGCTAACTTTTTCCCTGAGCTCACACTCCAATCCCTCCTTCTCCCCAGTCCCAGTGACCCTTCTGCTCCTCCTCCTCCATCCCACCTCATCATCGCATCTGTCTCCTGTTTCAGTTTCCTTCTGATGACCGTTAGTGAGGAAGCATTTTTTCCGTGTTTAGGAACCACCTGTATTGTTTTTGTGGATTTTCTGCCCATAGCCTTTGGTTGGTGGAGGGGTGGGATGTTTCTCTTTATCTTGCTGATTTGCAAATGCTTCATCGAAAAGGAAGGAAATCTGTTGTATTGCCTGGGCTGTTTCTCCTTTGCCCATGAATGGTTGGTGTGTCCTGGTTTCCTCCTTGTCTCTTCTCATCCTTCATGTCTGTCCTGTGGAGCCCAAACACCCTCATGGTTCTGCTTCCACTAACCGCATGACCCCAATTCTAAAGATACGTCTGCAGCCCTGAGTACCCAGCCAGACATCTCCATGTGCTATAGCAAGAGCACTTAGAACTCAGCATCGCTGGAGCTGTGGTCTTTCTCTTACCCACGCCAAACGCGCTCTGCTCCCTTCCCTTCTCCTCCAAGCCCCACGCTCCTTAAAAGAGTTGTCTACCCTCCATGTCCACACTTCATCACCCCACTCTCCCGATCCTGCGAGTTGCGGTGGGATGTGGGAAGTTGCCGTCTCTCTTACTGATGAGCTAGTGACCTTAAATCCCCATCCCACTCTGGGCTGTGGCTTCTCATCAACACAACAGAGTGCTTAGGACCAGAAGAATCTCCGCAGTCCACACTCCACGATCTGAATCGTGAGTCTTTAGGGAAAACGAGCGCAGACACCCTTCAGCCATGGAGGAGACTGTGTCGCACCTCACTGAGACTTGAGTGCAGTTGTGGAAGGTCAACAGGTGCAAACATTCTGGAATGATTCCCCGGTGTGAGCCGATTTCTGCTGTAGGTTTGCCACCCTTGCTTTGGCCAGAGGGTTTTGCTCAGAAATGCCTTCCCTTCCCTGCAGGCAGCACCAGTGACATCATGACCAGTGACCACAGCCCTGTTTTTGCCACATTTGAGGCAGGAGTCACCTCCCAGTTTGTCTCCAAAAATGGTAAGTGGTGGGCAGTGTCCTTCCCTTCATTTTCCACACAAACAGGGGCCTTGAGCACTTGTCTGCTGGTTGTAACAGTGAATTGTTTTCATTAGATGAAGGCACCTCCTTCCAGCAAGTCCACAGTCCATTGGTCTGATTTCTTCATGTCCAAGCACCATCATGACGTTGGTCCAGAGCATTTGCTTGTTCTCTGTGGCAAATGCATCAGCTTTTTAAGCCTCGGTTCTAGTACAGTCTTTTAAATTGGGTAAATGAGTGTTTTCTAAGGTGTGGCATGTCTACCACTGAAGAGTCCGGATGGAACCTGGATGACAATTTATCAGTCCTGCGTTTATCTTAGTATGTTTCACGGTTTTCTCTTCTGTGTAAGACAAGCAACACTGATTTTCCATTTAGTCTTGTGATAGATCTTCCTATTTATTATTTATTTATTTATTTATTTTCTTTATTGATTTTAGAGAGAGAGAAAGGGAGAGGGAGAGAGAGAGAAACATTGATGAGAGAGAACATCGATTGGCAGCCTCCTGCATGCCCCCCACTGGGGATCGGGCCCACAACCTGGGCATGTGTCCTGACCAGGAATCAAACTGGCAACCTCTTGGTCATCACTCAACCACTGAGCCACACTGACTGGGCTAGACCTTCTTATTTAAATACGTTTATTAAAGTTTAAAAAGTAAGTCAAAGGAAAATTCAAGTTGATATTAGTGCGGATGTGTGGTAGGCAGAGACAGTAAACATTGTGAAGATGGGATGCGATGACGAAGTTTGGGGAAACACTAGAGTAAATAATACTTACATTTGCAGGTAAATTTTCAAATAATTCAGCTTAGCCCTGATCACCGGGCCGGCCACCTTCATCCCATCAGGGGCCTATTGGTCTCTCTGGCCTGTCCAGCCCTGGGCCTGGGTGACTGGGGAGCCATGTTGTCACTTTCTCTGCCCACCCCCCACATCTGTGGTCAGCAGACAGTCCAGACTCATTTGGGAAGGCTGAGCAGGGGGCTCAGCACAGGTTGGAAGAGCCTGTGTCACTGTGTCCTTCAGGCTGTGATGGACATGGCTGAGGCTGCAGCAGAGTTCCCGGGACACTTCTCCGTGCTGTTGGGTCTGACATCCCCGCCCAGCAATGTGACCTCCCTCTCCTTGCAGCCATGACCCACCATCCTGCCTCCTTCCCAGTGGCCACTGTGGTTTTCCAGAACCTTCCACCTGCTCCCTACCTCCCACCCATCTCCCCTTTCTCTGAGTGCCTGCAGCATTGGTGGGGTAGCCCCAGTTTTCGCACCCTCAGTGAGGGCCCTCAGCGAATCCTGTTAGGCTTGCCACCCCGCCTAACAGCCACAGCACACGCCCACCGACCCCGACGGCCTGGACTGAGGGCTGGCCGAGCGTCTGCCTAAGCCCAGCCCGGCCCAGGTGCCGTGGGGCTTTCAAACAGAAAGGAGAGCTCAGGGATAAGCCAGACAGAAAAACAAGTACTGCAGGGAATTCCTTATGTGTGGACACTGAACATCACTCAGCAGGGTTCATGGAGCACAGAAGCAGAACAGGATGGTGGTTGCCGGGACGGGGGTGAGAGAAATGGGGAGGTGTAGGTCAAAGGGTACAAAGTTTCGGCTACAAGATAAAGACGTTCTGGTGATCGACGACTCAGCCGGTGACTAGGTGACAATCCAGGGTTACGGCAGTGCATTCTTGAAACTGACTGAGAGTAGATCTGAGTGTTCTCACCACACCGGAAACCCCACAGAAAACAGTTCACTACATGGGGTGATGGATATGTTCAATGTCTTGATCTTGGTGATCATTTTACAATATACATCTAAGTAAAACATCATGTTGTACACTTTAAATATACACAATTATAATTGTCAGTGATTCCCCAATAAAGCTGGGGAAAAGAAGAAGATGGTGCAAGGAAGGATGGGGAGAGAGGAAGGGAATGTCTGTCCCTGCTCTCCGTGGCTCAGAATTAATGTGAGAGCATCATCTAGGGCAATCCACTTGGGTCCCCTCCCCACTGCGGGGAGTCTGTGTATCTGTCAAATAAAACTTCCCTTTTGTGCCCAGCCGGTACAGCTCAGTGGTTGAGCATCAACCCGTGCACCAAGAGTTTGCCAGTTTGATTTCCGGTCAAGGCACATGCCCAGGTTGTGGGCCTGATCCCCAGTGAGGGGTGTGCAGGAGGCGGCCAATCAATGTTCTCTCTCATCGATGTTTCTATCTCTCCCACTCCCTTCTTCTCTCTCTAAAAATCAATAAAGAAAAAAATTTTTAAATCAATAAAGAAAATTTTTTTTAAATCAATAAAGAAAAATATTTTTTTTAATCAATAAAGAAAAAAAATTAAAAGTAAAAAACTTTCCTTTCGCTTGGGAAAAAAAAAAAGCATCATCTAAATGAATAGCGTTGACAGCAAGTAGTCTGAGCACCGGGGAGCAGGAGCTCAGAGTGAGGAGAGGCGGTGACTGCCCGAGGAAGGAAGCACAGGGATCCCTCACGGCCTGCACTCAGAAATGGGATGGATTTGGGTGTCCAGCCGCTGGGTGCGCAGTGGGGAAACCCCTGGACAGGCTCTTCGCCGGAACTAGTGAGGGGCCGAGGCAGCGAGCTTAAGGCCATTGCCCGAGGCCGCACGCTCTAGTGGCAAAGCCCGGAGTAGCTCCGGGCCTGGAACTCTTGGTTCTTCGCACCCTGCTCCCCACATTTTTGGTTCGTCACAGAGGCGGTTACCCCTGGGATGCTCAGTGTGGCTGGTGGGACGTCAGGGAGACCTGTCCCCCGGACTCTCCCCTTCCCTGGCCACAGGAGCTCTGCGTGGGGCGGCTCCGACGTGCTCCTGCCCGGGCACACGGGAACTGGGTCTCTGTTCGTCCTGTTCCAGGCCCCGGGACTGTCGACAGCCAAGGGCAGATCGAGTTCCTCCGGTGCTACGCCACCCTGAAGACCAAGTCCCAGACCAAATTCTACCTGGAATTCCACTCGAGCTGCTTGGAGAGTAAGAGCTGAAGGCTCCCTCTGGCGTGGCAGCCATGACTCGGCCTTACGTGCCTTTCCGTTGACGGTGCTGTGCCCCGTTTCCGCTCTCCGGGGAGGACTCGTGGGTGCACCCCAAGGGGGTGCAGAAGTGGGGCTGCAGGCGGAGGGGACACCAGTTATGTGGGGGTCTCCCAGTGGTCTGCGATGCCCCGCTCCAGGGGCAGGGTGGTCACTGATGCGCTGACCACTGAGCCCGTTGTAGGCGCTGGGCAGCTGGGTCCTTCCCTTGCCCCTCAGGGCAGAATGTAGCCCACTCGAGGGTTCCCGCAAGCCAAGCTGATTCAGCCACAGGGTCCTGGGTGAACGTCCAGAGCTTCTGGAGGCCGGTGCCAGGCCCTGAACCGCCCGCACCTCCCCACAGTCCTACGCTCTAGCCGGTACCACGGGCGCTTTCGCAGGGCGTCTGGAGCAGCGAGAGCAAGCTGGAGATGACCGGCCTCCCCTCGGCCAGCAGTTAGCACAGGACTCTTTCTAGGTGACACTTCTAGGCGTGTTTTCTAAGGCTGTTCTGTGTGAGGAGACCCGTGTGGTGCCCAGCCTCCTCGCTGAGGTGCCCTGGGTAGTGGTGGTAGTGGGGGCAGAACCAACTCTTCCAGAAATCAGAAGACCTGCACCCCCAGCTGCAGTGCTGCCCCGACCCCTCCTTCTCGGACTCACCTGGGCCCCATGCTGGGGAAAGACCCACCCTCTCCTGAAGTTTCCAGGTGCCAGTTCCCGGAGCAAGGGCAGAGCACATCCAAAAATGATGAGGATTTTTGCGGGGGTGTTTTTAATAAACTATCGAGACATTTGCATACATTTCTATGGAAACAGCAGATTCGGGAGCTTAAATTAGCGTTTCAGAAGGCTGCTATCTTGAGTGGCGGGGGAGAGCTGTCGAGTCCCTAATCTCCCTGCAGAAGTGAGATTTCTTTGTCACCTAGTTTGTTGCAAAGAGGAGCTGAAAAGGAGGGAAGTCTGATTTCCCAAAAATAACTGGCCCCCGCTGGCAGATGACCATCCCCTACACCAAAACAGCATCCCCAACAAGCCCGACCCCTAAACCATGCTGTGGCCCCTACAGAGATAAGGCAGACGGTCTTCCTGGGTCCGGATGGGTCGGCCCTAGGAGCCTGTTCTGTCTGGTCCTTACTCTGTTCTCTGAAAACCAGCCTTCTCGTCCTCTAACAGGTTTCGTCAAGAGTCAGGAAGGAGAAAATGAAGAAGGAAGTGAAGGGGAGTTGGTGGTGAAGTTTGGTGAGACCCTTCCAAAGGTAATTCAAGAACACGTGTCCCCGGGGAGGATGTTGCAGTGGCCCAGCCAGCATCATGGGCAGCGGCAGAGATCCGGCCAGCCGGACCTGACAGAGGGAATGGGCATCCCAGGGGCCAAATGTGAAGAGACCCCGCAGGCCTGCCCACCCCGGGGGCCAGCTCGCTTTTCAGGTGGTTTGTGGCACTCTTTACGGCCGTGGTGCGACATGAGTCTGTGCCTCGTGGCCCCAATATCTCTAAATGGATTTCAATTCCCATGATGGATCGTGGAAGAGATCCACAGGTCACCTTGGCTGACCACATGACTTTACAAAGAAGGAAACCGAGGCAGATCCCAGAGAGGTTTGCTCACGGTCACACGGCGTCGGTGACGGACGCAGGACCTGCGCCCCAAGGCCCCGACTCCCCAGCAGCGCTCCTCTGCCTGGTCAGCCCAGCTCGGAGGGTCAAGGGAGGAGTAGAGCAGAGGCCACTGAATGAGAGAGGACTTGCCACGGCCATGACCCGTGCGAGCAGAGGTTATACTTCAAACACCTGGCAGAACTTATGAAAACACATTCACCTTTATGGCGGAACAAACGGTTTTCAGTCTGGAACCCAGGACAGTCTCTGGGCTGTTCAGCTGATGGGGGACACCTGGAGATTCCTGCTGGGTGCACCGGGGAGAAGGACCTGTTTCTTGGTCACGTGACGAGGGAGGGTAACCAGGGAGCGGCCAGGCTGGGGAAATCTCTCGCATGGGGTGGGGGTCTCGGGGTCTCCTGGAAGATTCCTCAGAGGTGCACCCAAGATGAGTTTTGAAGGATGGCCTCTAACAGGTGGAGGGACCCATCCGCTCCCAAGGGCTGGGTGGGGTGTAGGCAGGTTTCAGGGTGCTGGCTGCCATGCTGGCATTAACTGTTGGTTGGAACCAACTCCTGGGCCACACACACAAAGGCCATCTCAGGAGCAGAGGCCGATGCCTGGGTCGCAGTCTCCTAATTCGGGTACACTCTGATCGGGTCTTCCACAAGGCGGGGCCCACTGCCGGAGTCCCGGGGCTGTGTTCAGGCCCCTGAATCCTGGTGGCTCTTGGCTCCAAGGTGACATCCTGCCTTCCCCACCCACCCCCACCTCCTGCTTTGTCTCCCAGCTGCTCCTGTACAGCACCCAAATGGCTTATCCCCACCTTTGTTCAAGTCGGGAAGGATACCAGCACCCAGTCCCTGCGGCACCCTGTCCACTTCAGGGACCTCTAGGGACCCGCCTCCCCACAGCCTCCCCACTGCCAGGACCTGACGCTCCTCCTGCCCTGTGCCCTCCTCTCCACCCTCTTCCACCTCCGGGGTCTCCACCCTCCCGCCTTCTTGCCGAAGCGTCCTGAAGCCTGACGGATCTCTCTGGAATGCTCATCGCACCCCGGCATACCCTCTTTATCCGGTCCACTCCCTAGTGACACGTGGGGTGAGCCCGAGCCCCTCAGCTTGGCTCCCAGACGCTCCTCCCTCTCCAGCCCCACCTGCTCCCGCAGCACCTCGGGCCTCACTCCCTCCTGACTCTGAACCACACCCCCCGCCGCCGACACTGTCCTGCCCCCTCCGTGGTGAGCGTGCGCCCACAGACAGGCTCGCTGACACCGGCCGCCCTGCGCCCACGGCCGCTGGCCGGGCAGGGTCTTCCTGCATCCACAGCCCGGCCCGGGTCCAACTTCGAGCCGGCCACCATGACCTGTCAGTGAACAAAGTGGTTGGTGTGGCTCTGGAACCCCAGAATGCTCGAGCCCCCTCTGCGGTGGCCATTCACTTGTTCTGGAACTTTCTGTTGGTTAACATGGCGCCAGGCCTGCATCAGGGGTCTCTGTATCTGTGGGTGGGAAGGAAGGGGACAGCCTGGAGCAATATAGTTGAGGACAGGATTAGAACCGGGCATCTCTGCCTGTTATCCACTGAGCCACCTGCCAACTACCCACAGGACACTCCAGACCCCCAGGGGGGTTCTGCAGGGGTGGACACAGAGGCCTCCTCCTGCCCAGATGGAGTGCAGCCCTGTGGTGACCCTTCCTGCAGCCTCAGTCCTGGGGGAAGGGGCTGCCCCTGCTGGGGGGGTGGTGGATGCAGACCTGGCGTCTGGTCCTGTTCCCATTTGCTTCTCAGCCTGGCCCCACTCCCCCGGGCCCTGGGGACTGCAAAAGGCGGGAAGGGAGACAGAGAAGGTGAGGTGTATTTGGGGTCAGGCCCTGTCCCTGGGGCTTGGAGTGCAGTGTGACGGGAGGGGACAGGAAAGGAAGATAACCCACCTTGCTGGGTAGGGGGTACCTAGGGGTCCTTCCTGCTCTCTGGGCATGAAGAGCACGGATTCATATTTGTTTAATGACATCGACAGGCCTGTTTTCTCCAGCACCCCCCTCCTCTGGGCTGGCAACCCTCCCCCGCCTGCCCCCGACTGGTCCCCTCTAATCCCACACCCCGTCTCTTTGCAGCTGAAGCCCATTATCTCCGACCCCGAGTACCTGCTGGACCAACACATCCTGATCAGCATTAAGTCCTCCGACAGCGACGAGTCCTACGGTAAGGGGCCCACAGGGGCCGCTCCTGCTGGTAGCCGGTGGCCTCTGATCAAAGGAGGTGGTGGCCTCTCTGTCACCTGCCATTCCCTGTCCTACTCTCCTGCCCCTCCTTTCCCCATCCCAGGGCTGCCGGGGGACAGTAACTGGTCAGCCATCCTTCCTGCCCCGTCGGGCGTCTGGGAGTGACAGCCTGCAGCCACTGTATAATTTAATTTTGACAAGACCTTAGGAGGCAGACACTATTGTTCCAATTAGTCGGTGAGAAAACAGACTCAGAGAGGCTAAGTGACTTGCCCAAGTCACACAGGTAGGAACTGGCTGAGCCCTTATGGAACGCAGGTCTGCCTAGCATCGCTCAGTGCTCAGGCCCGTGGCCCCAACAACTGTCCCACTGGAGAGACACCGTCTTCCGTAACATCTTCAGCCTGTCCGTGGCTCCGGCCCAATGCCAGGCTCGCCTTACGCTTGGTACACGCAGTGTTCTGCAGCATGGAGTGAGGGGGGCAGGTGGCCAGAGAGGCCACAGGCAGGAGGAGAGCAAGCAGCTCCCTACCAGCCAGCCTGGGGGCGAACACGGTGTGCTGAGGGCAGGAGGGAGCCGGTGGAGAGTCAAGCAGCGCAGTGATGGGGTCAGCTTCCCATCTTTCATATGTGTTTGCAGAGATCGAGACGAGGGGCCAGTACACACGGAGAGACAGGATCCGTCTGAGAGGCGTTAGGAAGGGAGATGGTCCGGCCCTGGGAATGGGGGACGTGGTAGTCGAGGGTGGATGGCCCTGCACTTCTGGCTGCAGTAGCTGCGTTAGCGTCTCCGTTCCGGATCTGGGTCAGCTGACAGGGCACAGCCAGAGACGTGGGAGGACAGGCTGTGGTGCTGGGGACACTTCGGAGTTGGTTTGAGAAGAAGGCAAGGCTATGATGGCAAATGTGCCCGAGAAAGCCAACAAAATACAAACCAAGCAGCGTCCCTGAGACAGAGTGGCTCGGGGACCATCCACGGACTTGGTGAGGCAGCGTTCACGGGCCGTTCGGGCATGAGCGGGATGAGGGAGCAGAGAGGCAGGTGAGAAGGTGAACCTGGCCCAGGAGGGGCTTTGTTTCGATGGAAGGGACCTAAAGGTGCTCGGTGCTGATGGCGGAAGCCAGGAAATAGCAAGAGGCATAGACACAATGGGCGCCTGTGGGTGCTGGCTGCCCAGTCTGCAGGCTCTGACAAAGCCTTGTGGCAGAGGTGAGGACATGAAGTGACTTGTTCAAGGTCATGTAGCTACCGAATGACTTCGATGTGCTACTGTGTGACCTTGGACTTGAACCGAGGCAGCCCAGCTCCAGAATCATGCCTTCCCCCTCTCCCAGGGCAGCACTGGAAAGAGGGTCCCCGAGCCAGGGCAGGGGCGGGCAGAGCCTGGGGGGTGTCCTGGCTCCGGGTCGGAATCTCCCGTCTGTCTCCACTGGGCAAAGAGAAAGATCCCTGCGGACGCCAGAATGTTTGAAGGCTCGGTGGCAGGAAGCAGGAATGCGGGTCTGATGGTTCCATGTGTTTCGTCTTCTTGGTATTCACGCACACAAACAGCACGTCGTAATACTAACAAAGGAAAGTCACAGGAGTCTCATTCCCTTACACACCAGTCCTTTTTATTTTGGTTTCACACTTCCGTCCTCGTACATAGGCAGCATAAATTTCTATATTTCTCATCATCACAGAATTACCATTTACAGTCTTCTTTCCTCACCTCCTATTAAAGACCCATTTCCCATAAGCCTCCTCCATGGTCTTCACGAGTGTTGCTTTTCATGGCTTCATAATATTCCACGGATTTACAGCACCCTCGTTTTTTGTTTTGTTTTTTTTTTATCCTCACCCGAGGATATTTTTCCATTTCTTGTACAGATAGAGCGGGAGGGAGAGAGAGGAAGGGAGAGAGAGAGAGAAACATCGACGTGAAGGGACACATCGAGTGGCTGCCACCCGCACGACCAACCAGGGCCGGGGACAAACTGCAACCGAAGTACGTGCCCTTAGCAGGAACCGAACCCAGGTCTCTCCGGACCGCAGGCCGACGCTCTAACCGCTGAGCCAAACCGGCCAGGGCGCACCCTTGTTTTTTATCGTCGTCTTTGTTGCTGTTACGGAGGCTCTTCCAGTTACTTCTGTTAGTGTTATCAGCAACGCTGAGATGGAGCTCTTTGGGGATATTTTTTATTCTCCTGCAGCTACATTTTTAAATTCTTTTGGATTATCTCTTTAGTCTGAGTTCCCATGTTTGCTGATCAAAGGGTCTAAACCTGTGCGTGATTGTTGCCCTTGTTATCAAACCGATTGCTGCAAAGGCTCTGTCTTGCCGCGTTGACCTTGCTCTGCCCCAGGGCCCAGGGTTCCCTGATCCTGGCTGGCCCGGGGATTCTTTTTCTTCCTTTCGTTTTGTGCTAAGCTCTTGTCTGTGAGGGAGTCGCTTCGTGCTGCCTTCATTTGCATTTTCGATGGCGTGCGAGGCTGAATGAGTTTCCATTTATTGAAATTAACCAGCTACAATTCTTTCTTGTGTGAAATGACTGTTTGGGTTATTTGCCTAGGTATCTGCTGAGGGTTAATTCTGAGGAGTTCCTCGTGAGTTCAGATAAAACCCCCGCTCTGTGAAGCTGACTGCAGCGAACAGCCCCAGTCAATCTCCTCCTTTTCATGTTTTCTTCTGTGTAGAAGTTTGAAACTTTTCTGTCCTCTTACCTGCCAGTCATAGTGTCATTTTTGACATCTCTTCAAGCCTTGGAAAGTTGTCATTCCCTCCAGCAGATTAGCACTGAACTCGGTTTTTCTGCTGGATGGTCTATGATTTGACCTTCTTTTCCACATCAGCTAATCCACACGGAGTTCATTTGCTGTTACTGTTGGGATGTTTTCCCCAGGCTGCCGAGGAGTTGCTCTAAAAGGGTCATTCGATGATCCCCGCCGCGGCCACTGTCTGGAACGGCTGCCTTTGGGGGTAGAGCTAACTCTCCAGGCCAAGTGCACAGGGTTTCTCCAGCGACGTGGCGGCGTCTTGACCTGACAGTTGTCCCCTCCACGTCCCCAGGCGAGGGCTGCATTGCTCTGCGGTTAGAGGCCACGGAGACTCAGCTTCCCATCTACACACCGCTCACCCACCACGGAGAGATGATGGGTCACTTCCGGGGCGAGATCAAGCTGCAAACCTCCCAGGGCAAGAAGCGGGAGAAGCTGTACGGTAAGTGGGCACGATCCCCCACCCCCGCACCCATGTCAGCCCTGCCAACAGGAGTGAGCTCCTCTCTGAAAGCCAGGCATCATCCTTGCTGGGTAGACGGGGAAACTGGGGCACAGAGAGGCTCAGTGATTGGCTGGAGGTCAGGGACCGAGTAAGCAGCCGCAGGTGAAAGTGCAGGTTCACCGGGCGCTAAGCTGGAAGTTGTCCACGTGCTGGGGTCCTGCCCTGTGTGGACAGCGAGACAGCAGGGCTCACCACACGTGGACTGTCTAGCAGCCTCTGCTCCTTGGGACGTGCTGGGCCATCAGGGGTGCCGCCTCCCAGGGATGTGGCCCCCTTCTGCCCTGGGGGAGCTCCTTTCTCTAGCAGGACCGTGGGTTGGAGTGAGGGGGCCTGAGCATCTCTGCAACTACATGTCCGAGTCAGAAACAAAGACGGTCCGAGCTGCCCTTTAAGCCCGTGAAGAAGGTGGCTTTGGTACCCGAAGCTCTGGTGGGGTCGCCTTCTTCTGTTTGTTCTGTTTGGATCTGCCAAGGACAGTTGGCCTGTTTTGCCCCTCACAGGCCCCAACAAATTGCGAAGTCACATGAAATGACCCCTCTGGGTCACATGTGTCAATTCTGCCCCCTCTGGAAGCATGGCAGGCATGACTAATCGCTCACTGAACCCGCATGAGGCCTGGGGACCGTGCTCGGGCAGCCGGTGTTCGCTGTCCGGCGCGGGCACTCGGTGGAAACCTCTGCCATCCCAGCCCGACCTGCACACTGGGCCCTCACGTGCTTCTTCCCGGCCCGTCCTTTGCAGACTTCGTGAAGACTGAGCGGGACGAGTCCAGCGGGACCAAGTCCCTGAAGAGCTTCACCAGCCACGACCCCATGAGGCAGTGGGAGCCTACCACCAGGTAGGGCAGGGGGGTTGCCAGGGCGTCGCCACAGACCCGCTGGCCTTGCAGACGAGCACCCAGGGAGGGAGTGGAGCGCAGAGAAACCCAGGGCCGGAGGGAAAGGGGGCTCGGCCCGGAGAGGCGCCGTCCTGCCTCGGGGTCCGTGTGACTGTGGTGCGGCCTGAGATACTCCTCTGTGCTGGAGGCTTTGGTTCAGCGCAACGAGCATGGGCTGAGCACCTGCTATGGGAGAGGTTCTAGAGAAGCCAAGGCAGGTCAGGAGCCGTCCCTGACTTGGGGACTCGGCCTGGGACAGAGGCCCCGTCCAGGAGAAAGCCCCCAGGGAGATGGCTGCGTGGACTGGATGCCCAGCACGCACTGTCCCTGTTGGTCCCCACACCGCAGGCCCATGCATCCGGCCCTCGCCCACGGGCACCGCCCCGGGAACACGGAGCTCACCTCTCCAGCCCCTTCCCTGTCTCCCTCCAGCCTCCCCTGGGTGCTGTATTCCCTCTCACTCTTTCTCTCCCACTGTTACCCTGCCGACGAAAGCGTCCTGGCTCTCCCGTGTCGCTCTGGCTCCAGAGTGAGGATCAGCGCAGGTCTATACATTCTTCTCCATCTGACCAGCATTAGAATCCGTGTTCAGGAAGCAGGCACTGGAGTGGGGTGGGCCAGAGCGGGCTGGCTGAGCAGAGGGAGCTGGGGGGCTCTTAGCCCTGCACATCCGGCTTCTCCTCGTGATGGCCCTGGCCACAAAGGACGACGCCTCTGTCACCAGAGGCAGCACAGGGTTGGGGTCTCAGGCCCCCTCCCCCGAGTTTGGGCCATCCCCTCCGTCGCTTTAAGCTGACTCCCCAATATTCGAGGTTCCAGCCTTGACCTCCGTGCCCTCATCTTCAAATGCCCACGTGGCCATTTTCGTTCTCAGGCCTCACACACAAACGTGCACGTTGACCTGTCCCCGGTGGAACTCTCCACGTACCCCACCCCAGCCTGCACTCCCCACGGTCACTCGGCCCCACCAGCCTCGACAGTTTCCCATTCTATCCTCCCCACTGCTCGTTGGGCCACCAATGTCTCCTGGGACAGTTACACCCCTTCAGGGCCATGAGTTACTCTTCCCGCTGTCTCCCCCCTGCCTTCTTACCTGCCCCCCAGAGAGGGCTTCCCTGGTCACCCTGGGCCCAGCGGGGCTCAGCGCGCCTGCCAGTCCATCTCTGCCTCTTTGGCGAGTCTCTTAGACTTCAGCACTGTGCAAATACCACCTGTCTCAGTCACTGAGCTTGTTTTGCTTGTCTCCCCCACCATGTCTGAGATCCGTGAGAACAGACTGGCAGCCTCATTCACAACCACATTCCCTCTGCCTAGCCCAGGGCTGGGTGCCCACTGGGCACTCAGAAACTGTTACGTTGTATGAATGAATGAATGAATGAATCCATGCACTTACTGCCCCAAAAGTGAAGGAATTGAGGAGATCCTGAGGGGTCCTGAGGAACATTAGGAGACACCATCCTCAGGCTGGGACTGATCGAAAGGTGGGAAGGGAGAACTGACGTGTGACTTTGGGTGTCTCCCCCACAGGGTCCCTCTCTGCAGTGGCTCGAGCATCACTGAAATCATCAACCCCAACTACATGGGGGTGGGGTCCCTCGGGCACATGAAACAGGCCCTGTCCCCCGACCATCAGCCCACAGCCTGGAGCTATGACCAGCCACTCAAGGACTCCTCCCTGGGACCCGGAAGGGGAGAAGGCCCTCCAACACCACCCTCCCAGCCACCCATATCACCCAAGAAGTTTGCATCCTCCACAGTGACCCGGGGCCCCTGCCTCAGGACACAGGAGTCAAGGTGAGCGTCCTCCTCACCAAGACCTCTCCCTTCCCTGTGTGTTTGCTGCTGGGAAACCCAGCCCTGGAACGGAAGCTGCATGAAGGCTGGGGTGTGCGTCCACTTTGCTCTCTGACTCACCCTCGGGGCCTGGAACACAGTAGACACTGCCGAAATACTTGTAGAATCTCCAAGCCCTACCCTATCAGTGTGGACTTGAAAGATTTTTCAGCCCGGCCAGTGTGGCTCAGTGGTTGAGCGTCGACCCTGCACCAAGAGGTTGCTGGTTCAATTCCTGGTCAGAGCACATGCCCAGGTTGTGGGCCAGGTCCCCATTGGGAGGCATGCAGGAGGCACCCGATCAATGTTCTCTCTCGATGTTTCTATCTCTCTCTCCCTCTCCCTTCCTCTCTCTCTAGAATCATTAAAAAAAATTTTTTTTTAAAGAAAGATTTTTCAAATAGAAATTTTTATTCATTTTTTTCATTAATCTTCACCTGAGGATATTTTTCCATTGATTTTTTTAGATAGAGTGGAAGGGAGGGAGGTAGAAAGAAAGAGAGAGAGACATTAATGTGAGAGAGACACATCGACTGGTTGCCTCCCCCGCACGCCCCGACCGGGGCTGGGAATCAAACCCGCGACCCTTTGGCCTGCAGCCTGACACTCTAACCACCGAGCAAATCCGGCCAGGGAGAAAGTTTTAAAGATACTATCAAGAAAAATACCCTCCCATAAAAACTGCATTGATTGAAAAAGTCATTTCTATCACCTGTGAACCCTGGAGGCCCCCCGAGGAGAGGTGGGGACTTCCATGTAGAAGTCCCTCTCCAACTCCAAGCTCCCCTCTCTTCTTGGCCACGGGGTGCCTGTTTCAGGTTCAGCTCCCCCATTCCCCCTGTTGAGGACAGTCAGAAAAGGAGGCTGCTGAGACCAGGAATACCAAAGGGAGGGAGCCGCTGTCCTGCAGGGGGAGGACTGTGGCCGGGCACTCGGGAGGTTAGAGGAGGGTGCGCTGTCCTGCAGGGGGAGGACTGTGGCCGGGGCACTCGGGAGGTTAGAGGAGGGTGCGCTGTCCTGCAGGGAGAGGACTGTGGCCGGGGCACTCGGGAGGTTAGAGGAGGGTGCGCTGTCCTGCAGGGGGAGGACTGTGGCCGGGCACTCGGGAGGTTAGAGGAGGGTGTGCTGTCCTGCAGGGGGAGGACTGTGGCCGGGCACTTGGGAGGTTAGAGGAGGGTGCGCTGTCCTGCAGAGGGAGGACTCTGGCCGGGGCACTCGGGAGGTTAGAGGAGGGTGCGCTGTCCTGCAGGGGGAGGACTGTGGCGGGGCACTCGGGAGGTTAGAGGAGGGTGCGCTGTCCTGCAGGGGGAGGACTGTGGCGGGGCACTCGGGAGGTTAGAGGAGGGTGCGCTGTCCTGCAGGGGGAGGACTGTGGCGGGGCACTCGGGAGGTTAGAGGAGGGTGCGCTGTCCTGCAGGGGGAGGACTGTGGCCGGGGCACTCGGGAGGTTAGAGGAGGGTGCGCTGTCCTGCAGGGGGAGGACTGTGGCCGGGCACTCGGGAGGTTAGAGGAGGGTGCGCTGTCCTGCAGGGGGAGGACTGTGGCCGGGGCACTCGGGAGGTTAGAGGAGGGTGCGCTGTCCTGCAGGGGGAGGACTGTGGCCGGGGCACTCGGGAGGTTAGAGGAGGGTGCGCTGTCCTGCAGGGGGAGGACTGTGGCCGGGCACTCGGGAGGTTAGAGGAGGGTGCGCTGTCCTGCAGGGGGAAGACTGTGGCGGGGGCACTCGGGAGGTTAGAGGAGGGTGCGCTGTCCTGCAGGGGGAGGACTCTGGCCGGGGCACTCGGGAGGTTAGAGGAGGGTGCGCTGTCCTGCAGGGGGAGGACTGTGGCGGGGCACTCGGGAGGTTAGAGGAGGGTGCGCTGTCCTGCAGGGGGAGGACTCTGGCCGGGGCACTCGGGAGGTTAGAGGAGGGTGCGCTGTCCTGCAGGGGGAGGACTGTGGCCGGGGCACTCGGGAGGTTAGAGGAGGGTGTGCTGTCCTGCAGGGGGAGGACTGTGGCGGGGCACTCGGGAGGTTAGAGGAGGGTGCGCTGTCCTGCAGGGGGAGGACTGTGGCGGGGCACTCGGGAGGTTAGAGGAGGGTGCGCTGTCCTGCAGGGGGAGGACTGTGGCGGGGCACTCGGGAGGTTAGAGGAGGGTGCGCTGTCCTGCAGGGGGAGGACTGTGGCCGGGGCACTCGGGAGGTTAGAGGAGGGTGCGCTGTCCTGCAGGGGGAGGACTGTGGCCGGGGCACTCGGGAGGTTAGAGGAGGGTGCGCTGTCCTGCAGGGGGAGGACTGTGGCGGGGCACTCGGGAGGTTAGAGGAGGGTGCGCTGTCCTGCAGGGGGAGGACTCTGGCCGGGGCACTCGGGAGGTTAGAGGAGGGTGTGCTGTCCTGCAGGGGGAGGACTGTGGCTGGGCACTCGGGAGGTTGGAGGAGGGTGCGCTGTCCTGCAGGGGGAGGACTGTGGCGGGGCACTCGGGAGGTTAGAGGAGGGTGCGCTGTCCTGCAGGGGGAGGACTGTGGCGGGGCACTCGGGAGGTTAGAGGAGGGTGCGCTGTCCTGCAGGGGGAGGACTGTGGCGGGGCACTCGGGAGGTTAGAGGAGGGTGCGCTGTCCTGCAGGGGGAGGACTGTGGCCGGGGCACTCGGGAGGTTAGAGGAGGGTGCGCTGTCCTGCAGGGGGAGGACTGTGGCCGGGCACTCGGGAGGTTAGAGGAGGGTGCGCTGTCCTGCAGGGGGAGGACTGTGGCCGGGGCACTCGGGAGGTTAGAGGAGGGTGCGCTGTCCTGCAGGGGGAGGACTGTGGCCGGGGCACTCGGGAGGTTAGAGGAGGGTGCGCTGTCCTGCAGGGGGAGGACTGTGGCCGGGCACTCGGGAGGTTAGAGGAGGGTGCGCTGTCCTGCAGGGGGAGGACTGTGGCGGGGGCACTCGGGAGGTTAGAGGAGGGTGCGCTGTCCTGCAGGGGGAGGACTCTGGCCGGGGCACTCGGGAGGTTAGAGGAGGGTGCGCTGTCCTGCAGGGGGAGGACTGTGGCTGGGCACTCGGGAGGTTAGAGGAGGGTGCGCTGTCCTGCAGGGGGAGGACTGTGGCCGGGGCACTCGGGAGGTTAGAGGAGGGTGTGCTGTCCTGCAGGGGGAGGACTGTGGCCGGGCACTCGGGAGGTTAGAGGAGGGTGCGCTGTCCTGCAGGGGGAGGACTGTGGCCAGGGCACTCGGGAGGTTAGAGGAGGGTGCGCTGTCCTGCAGGGGGAGGACTGTGGCGGGGCACTCGGGAGGTTAGAGGAGGGTGTGCTGTCCTGCAGGGGGAGGACTGTGGCCGGGCACTCGGGAGGTTAGAGGAGGGTGCGCTGTCCTGCAGGGGGAGGACTCTGGCCGGGGCACTCGGGAGGTTAGAGGAGGGTGCGCTGTCCTGCAGGGGGAGGACTGTGGCGGGGCACTCGGGAGGTTAGAGGAGGGTGCGCTGTCCTGCAGGGGGAGGACTCTGGCCGGGGCACTCGGGAGGTTAGAGGAGGGTGCGCTGTCCTGCAGGGGGAGGACTGTGGCCGGGGCACTCGGGAGGTTAGAGGAGGGTGTGCTGTCCTGCAGGGGGAGGACTGTGGCGGGGCACTCGGGAGGTTAGAGGAGGGTGCGCTGTCCTGCAGGGGGAGGACTGTGGCGGGGCACTCGGGAGGTTAGAGGAGGGTGCGCTGTCCTGCAGGGGGAGGACTGTGGCGGGGCACTCGGGAGGTTAGAGGAGGGTGCGCTGTCCTGCAGGGGGAGGACTGTGGCCGGGCACTCGGGAGGTTAGAGGAGGGTGCGCTGTCCTGCAGGGGGAGGACTGTGGCCGGGGCACTCGGGAGGTTAGAGGAGGGTGCGCTGTCCTGCAGGGGGAGGACTGTGGCGGGGCACTCGGGAGGTTAGAGGAGGGTGCGCTGTCCTGCAGGGGGAGGACTCTGGCCGGGGCACTCGGGAGGTTAGAGGAGGGTGTGCTGTCCTGCAGGGGGAGGACTGTGGCTGGGCACTCGGGAGGTTGGAGGAGGGTGCGCTGTCCTGCAGGGGGAGGACTGTGGCCGGGGCACTCGGGAGGTTAGAGGAGGGTGCGCTGTCCTGCAGGGGGAGGACTGTGGCCGGGGCACTCGGGAGGTTAGAGGAGGGTGTGCTGTCCTGCAGGGGGAGGACTGTGGCCGGGCACTCGGGAGGTTAGAGGAGGGTGCGCTGTCCTGCAGGGGGAGGACTGTGGCCGGGGCACTCGGGAGGTTAGAGGAGGGTGCGCTGTCCTGCAGGGGGAGGACTGTGGCCGGGGCACTCGGGAGGTTAGAGGAGGGTGCGCTGTCCTGCAGGGGGAGGACTGTGGCGGGGCACTCGGGAGGTTAGAGGAGGGTGCGCTGTCCTGCAGGGGGAGGACTGTGGCCGGGCACTCGGGAGGTTAGAGGAGGGTGCGCTGTCCTGCAGGGGGAGGACTGTGGCTGGGCACTCGGGAGGTTAGAGGAGGGTGCGCTGTCCTGCAGGGGGAGGACTCTGGCCGGGACACTCGGGAGGTTAGAGGAGGGTGTGCTGTCCTGCAGGGGGAGGACTGTGGCCGGGCACTCGGGAGGTTAGAGGAGGGTGCGCTGTCCTGCAGGGGGAGGACTGTGGCCGGGCACTCGGGAGGTTAGAGGAGGGTGCGCTGTCCTGCAGGGGGAGGACTGTGGCCGGGCACTTGGGAGGTTAGAGGAGGGTGCGCTGTCCTGCATGGGGAGGACTGTGGCCGGGGCACTCGGGAGGTTAGAGGAGGATGCGCTGTCCTGCAGGGGGAGGACTGTGGCGGGGCACTCGGGAGGTTAGAGGAGGATGCGCTGTCCTGCAGGGGGAGGACTGTGGCCGGGCACTCGGGAGGTTAGAAGGGGGTGCCCCAGGCAGCCGGTGTGAGAAGGAGGGAGCCAGGGCCGAGCTCGGGCCAGGCAGCGAAGCCGCGGCCAGCTCCCATGCGTGCCACTGTCACCGAGCAGACTCATTCGAAAGCTCCTCGTGGAAACACAAGATGAGGAGGCCTGCGAGTCTCTCGTAGCTGCGGTGACAGATGGAAATGAGGAGTGCAGATCAATGAGCCAGGAGCGAAGGCGGACGAGACACCATTAGCACCGGCTTTCCTGGTGGCTGTCTGTACGGTTCACCGGGACTTCGGGGGCTGCTCTCTCCCCTTTTCTGAGCTCCGGGGTTTCTCAGCGGTGTTTCCTGTCACTGCCTAGGAGCCAGGGAAGGGAGTGTTGTCGAACAGTGTTCTCCCTCACCGCACCTCTTCCCACCTCTCAGGGGCAGGTCACAGTTTTATCCTTTAAGCCTTTTCTCTAAAAAAAAAAAAAATTAAAAATTAATTTCTCTAAAATGGAAATTAATAGATGAATGGAAAGAAGGAAGGAATAGAGGATGTGACGGGCAGGACAGGATAAGTCAGTAGGCCTGCCCTGAGCACAGCCCGGGCTACCTCTGTACCTCTAGTTTGCAGAATCTGTTGATAATGTTTTTGGACTCTTGTCATCTCGTAAGAAATTTGGAGGAAGGAAAAACAGCCTCAGTTTCCTCCCCTTGAGAAATGAGGACAAGAACCACCTCGATGGGTGCTGAGGGGCCTTTTCGGCAAAGGGCAGGACTTCGGACACCCAGGAAATGGATCTGCAAACATCCACATAGAACGAGGAGATTATTTAGTTGAAATGTTTCTAAGTTCCCAGAGTTAACGCAACACAGCACACGGTTTGGAACTGGGCGGAGAACGTGTTGCCTCCGGTTCCTTGGTGACAGCCCCAGAACGGTGACGCGTAGGCAAGGGGCCCCCGGGGTGGCCTTCTCAGCTCCCTGCTCACCAAGGAGGTGATTAGAGGCGAGAAGCCAGCAGCTCCCACCCCTGCCTGCTGCCTCTTAATGGCTTTCACCACCTGCTCAGCCTGAGCAAAGGCAGGGGAGAAGGGGGTGTCGCCAGCATCCTCCATGTCATCCCTCCTTTGCCCTGCACCGAGTAGGTTGACTGGCTGTCCCAAGACGGTCCCCTTTTTTGCACTAAGAAGCCCGCGTCCTGGGACACCTATGAATCCTGGGCAAACCTGAACAGCTGGTCACCCTGGACTGAAGCTGCGTGGTTAGAAAGAGGGTTCTTCTCAATCCCTGCTCAGCGTTGCTCTGCTTTGGAGAAGAACCGACTCCAAAATCTGAGCAGCGGGGCCCTTTGGCCCCAGGAATTAACTCTGCGTCGTGGACATTGGTTCACTTATTCCACAGGGTGGCCTACTGTGGCCTCCCGTGCGAGTCGGTTTCCTAGGACCTTTGGTCATGGAAATAAGACTTTTCAAATTGTTTTGTGGTTCTCCCAGTCTCTCCCGCCCCAACCAAGCTCTCTAAGGGTGACAACTGCCCCTCCCGGAGGGAGAGCTTGACTTGCCGCCATCTCTGCTCCTGTGGCCGGGGAGTGAGCTTTGGATCCACCAACAGGCTGGCATCCAGGGCCCTGCCCCTAATTCTCAGAGGCGACCCCCTCCTCCTGCCTCAGCCACCCAGAGTGGGCTGTCAGCTGTCAGATCTCGCGTTTTTCTTTTTTTATTTTTATCCTCACCCGAGGACATTTTTGCATTTATCTTCAGATAGAGCGGGAGGGAGAGAGAGGGGAAGAGAGAAATAGACATATTGACTGGTTGCCACCCACACAACCCCAACCAGGGCCGGGGACAAACTGCAACCGAGGTACGTGCCCTTAATGGGAACCAAACCGGAGACTCTCTGGTCCGCGGGCCGATGCTCTAACCACTGCGCCAAACCGGCCAGGGCAGACCTCATGCTTTTCCTTTCTCCTTCTTTCCTCTTCATCGAAAGCTGCTAGTCGGTGTCCTTGCACCTTCCTCCCCGGGCTGACTCCTAGCCAAGGTCCTCGAGGATCCAGGCGGGGATACAGGTCTGCGGTGGTGGGGAGGCTTTCCAAAGTCTTCCTTCAAGGTTCCAGCATTCATTCCCAGTTACACAGCTGCTTCTGGGCCTTTCCAAAGAGGAATGAGCCCCACACTGAGTCTACAGCCAAGCCCCACTGGCATCTCCCTGAGGCTAGCCTCCCCCGATACCCCGTCATCTCATCTCACGGTACCTGGCAAGGTGGGCACTCGACCCGCCCCCGGAGCCTACGCCTTGCTCCCCGAGGAGTCATCGGCCCGGGCTGCCCAGGCTTTGAGCAGTGTTTCCGCACATCCCATCGGTGAGGGCGTCACGCTGAACGGCAGTGGGTTCCCAGGGACCCACACTTTCTTCACGACGCCTTCCTTTTTGCAGAAAGCAGAACCCAGAAGACTCCCCCGGGAGATTAAGCCATTGGCCAGGAAGTAAAATGTGTTCCATTCCTGGTTCTCATAATTTGCTCAGCAGAAAATCACCTCGAGTAAGAGCCGTAAGAAACCAGGAAACAGACAAACAGGGGGCGCCCACCTGCGCCGGCCCCCGACGCGGCGCTCCCTCTCCTGCTTGCTTGCTGCTGGCTTCTTCCCATCTCTCCAGGTTCCCTCTGACGTCCGCCATGACCACTGCGTACTTTCCTTCCCCCCCTAAGTGAGGCCAGAAGGAAACCGAGGTCACTAGGAGCAATCCGGGACGAGTCCTGTGCTGATCAGGAACGTCGGCCCCTGAGCCCAGAATGTGTCCTGTTCATGGCTCACTCCGGTGTCTGGGGCACCTAGTGGGCTCATCATGTCTATTACATGATACTCCTTGACCTGCGACCCTCATGTAGCCCAGATGGTGGCTGAGGACATCTGGTCACCTGCAAGGCTTCTGTTCCCCTGAGGGTCAGAGCAGAATCTGCTGGAGACAGCAGAGAGGCTGCGGGGTTCTTGGTGGGGAGCAAGGAAGGCAGGTCTGTTAGCAGCAGTGGGGGGCAGGGCGGAGGGGGGCAGGCTTCTCTGAGGAGGACAGAGGGGCTGGTTTTGATATTGGCGGTGCCATGCAAGCCCTGCCCTCTCTCCCCTCCTACAAACCCTTCAGGAGAGCCCCCTGGCCCACCCAGGCTCCGGTGGAAAAGGTCCAGGGACAGCTGAGATCACCTGTGTGAGCAGCAACATAGGAGTAACACAGACCCTTTCCTTTCGTTTTTAAAGTTTTTAATTGACGTGAAACTCATGGGACACAAATGAGCCATTTGAAAGAGGACAGTTGGGTGGCAGTCAGTACTTCACAGCGTTGTGCCATCCCCACCTCCATCTAGTTCCGCTTTTATCCCGAAGAAAAGCCCTAGCACCCAGCACTCATCCCCACGTGTCTCCGCGTCTCCTTTCTCACACTGCAGGCCTGGCGACGTGGGGAAGAGTGGGGTGGAGCCTTTGCCCTCCGAGGACCCCAAGCTGGCCAAGCCCGAGATGTTTGAGAACCCACTGTATGGCTCCGTGAGTTCTTTCTCGAAGCTGGTTCCCAGGAAAGAGCAGGAATCTCCCAAAATGCTGAAGAAGGAGCTCCCGCCCTGCCCGGACCCACCATCCTTGTCACCCAGCATCCTGCTCTCCAAAGCCCAGGAGCCCGAGGGAAGCAAGGGGACTGGCAAGCCAGTGCCTACGCCCCCACCCACGCCCTTCCTCAGCCCCACGCCCCGGCCTCGCTCCTTCACTTGCTCATCCCCTGCTGAGGGCCGGCCGGCCGCTGGGGACAAGAGCCAGGGGAAGCCCAAGGCCCCTGCCGGCACCCAAGCCCCAGTGCCCGCCAAGAGGCCCATCAAGCCTTCCAGGTCGGAGCTGAGCCAGCAGGCCCCGCCCACCCCGGCACAGCGGCCTCCCCTCCCGCACAAGAGCCCGGCCGTCCTGCACCTGCAGCACTCCAAGGGCCGCGACTACCGGGAGAACGCCGAGCTGCCCCACCATGCCAAGCACCGGCCCGAGGACACGCCGCTCAGCAGGGCTGCCATGCAGGTGCGCCGGGGTGCGCGTGCGTGTGACGACCACCGTGCCCAGAGTGTGCTCGGGTGCACGTGGGCTTGCGTGCGTGCACGTGAGTGAGTGTCTGTGCATGATCCAACGACCCAGGCCGGGAGTGGGTTCTGAAAAGCAGTGGTTCTGGAGCTGTTCCATGAGGAAGAGGTGGAGTCGGGATTTGAACCCAGGCCTGTCTGTGTCCAAAGTCCCTGCTCCAACAATGAAAGGGTTGAAGGAGGGGCTGTGGACAAACTCTGAGCCCTCCTGTGTCAGGCCCCTAGGAATAGGCTCCATAAATACAAAGAGCCCAGATCGTTTACATTTCATTATTATTGTCATTAGTATTAACACTTAACAATGTCCCCAGGACTGCTGACACTTCAGATGCAATGCCCTCTTCCTTTCCAGAAAACCGGGATTTCTTTCGGAACAGAGCTAATAGTGCTAAGAACAGAATGTGGAGCCAGGCTGTCTTGGGTTTGAATCCCTCTTCTCCCATCTCCTGGCTCTAGTCCTCGAGCCTCAGTTTACTCATTTGTAAAAACGGAGCTATTGGTGGGACCTGCCTTCTCGGTTTAAAAGGAGGCTTACGTTTTATTATATATTATTACTGCACATTATAATTTATATCTAAGTCATTTATTTATATGCTATATAGTCCCATGCATAAGTATAACATATATGCATATATGTTAGAATATATTTCAGGTGCTTAGACCTTTGCTAAGTGTTGGCTGTCTTCAGCACTCTCCAGAAATCCTGGCTTGGCCCACAGCATGCGGGGACATGGGGACCTTTAGTTAAATCTGGCCTGGCGAGAATGCAATGCTGACAGTCTTCTGTCCTTGGCCCACAGTGAAGCCCCCGGTGAGCTGCCCATAAGACAGGAGCCCAGAGGAGCTGCACCAAGCCACCTGGACCCTCTCCTGGGACTTCCTGTCGGCCCCTCCTACTCAGCTTCCCGTGCAGGGCTTCGTACTTGTCAGGAGGCGGCGTCTGCGTCGCCAGCAGAGTGTGCTGGCTTCGAAACTTGGCCCCAAGCGCTGAGGTTGGAAGGAAAAGCACACCTGACAGGCAACGAACAGCTCACGCACCTGGGCCCCAGCTTGATCCTGGTACTTGGGACCCCAGAGCCTTGTTCCGGTCACCATCTCGAAGAAAGGAACGAAAGCGCTGACTTCCAGGTGGAAATAGAAATAATAATAATATTAATAATAATAATGGCTGCGTGTACCACGTGCCAGGTACCTGCTAAGTGCTTTACGAACATTACGAGTTGAGACTTCTTCAGCCGACCGCAACCACATCCCCAGACCCCCCGGTTCCAAACAGGACGTCCCGAGAGGTTTGGAAAAAGCATTAAAAAGTAAGGCCACTGCCCTCCTGGAGGAAGAGGCTCGCCTGTAGGAAGCTGAAGAATGAGTGTTAATTTAGGGCACAAGGAACCTGGCCTTGTAGCTTTAGTGACAAACTGCTTTAGCGAAAGCCCCAGGGGTTCGGGCAGAGCTGGTGCTAAGAGCAGGGTGTCTGGGTCCTCTCGGTTTCTGTTTTGAAGGACAGTCAGCCCTTTCTCGCCAGTGGGGGCGTCCAGCTTCAGCCCGGGCTGCAGATGCCCAGGCCCTCCCTGACGTGGGCAGCCCCCAGCAGCCCCCAGCATTTCTGCCATCATGCTCCTAGCAGAGTCTTTCCTGGGGCTGCTGAAGCAGCTGCCGCCTGGCTGCCTGGAGGGTGGGCCGCGCCGTGCCCAGCTCTCGGGATCGTGCAGCCTTTTCTTTGAAACTGCCGTGGCTTTTGGCACTCCGTCCTTGGTCACTAGACTAGATTGTGATGTCTTTCCTCGTGTTGCTTTTTCACTTAACGGAATTGATGTAGGCAACCAAATCCAGAAGTGTACGTGTGCCGGAGGCTGGATCCGCACCCACAGCCCCTTGTGTGCAGTCTGTGCGACCAATAAATCGTGCCTCTCCCTCAGCTCTTCTGTGTGGCATTTTTTCCTGCCGTTCAGCCTCCGGCAATGTTTCTAGGCTGTCGGGGCCGTAGAGCAGCAGCGAGGGGAGGAGGGTGTTGAGGTTAATGGTGGTGATGGGCAAGTATGGTCCCAACTGGAGGGAACCCCTTAGACCTGGTTTGAAGTTGGGCCTGGGCCAGGACAGCAGTACACGTCACACATCTTCAGGGGACTCCAGGCACCTGCCGCCACCCACCTTCCACCAGCGCCATCCCCTGGACCACCACCTACTGTCCTGTACTCACAGGTCTCTCCTGGCTTTTGCAAGTGTTTGCTGCTAAGCTCCAGAGACAAAAGAGACTTTTAAACAATCCCCAGGTCTTGGGCCTTCAGCTCCCTGCATTCAGGGGGCAGCTTGCACTGCTCACTGGCCAGGGAGCGGCCCCATCACAGAAGGCCAGTGTGGGGGCTGCTCGGCCCCACCTCTAGGGTTCCTTGGCCCGGGCTGCTATTCCCACCACTGCCTGTGCTTGGCCTCTGCCCTGGTTCAGACACCAGACAGACCTTCAGCGAGTGGTGTTCTTGGCGGCCACGAAGCAAGCCATTCACTGCCCTTCAGCAATGGCCCATGGAGACTGGCAGAGATGGGACTGAGCACCCACTGCAACCTCGGCTCCTCCCCTACTCAGGTGGGTTCCCCAACCCTACAGGCTCACTTCCTGGTCACCGCACAGAACCTGACCAAAGTCCCTGGGAACCAGCCTTGTGACTTGATAGGCCAAAGGCCAGGTTGGAAGGACAGCTTGAGACACACAGACACCCTTTAAACCAACCCCCTCTACATCTATCACCCTACTACTGAGGACCAGGGCGTTGATGCTTGGGCACCTGGGGAACCCACTGGCTGCCGGGAGGGCTGGCATGCTGGGAGGGGGAGCAAAGACTTGAGCTCCCACCCCCACCTACAGGCCCTGTCCACCATCTCTGAGGTCTCCCAGGAGTGTGGGGTGCACCTTGGACTCCCCATCATGTTTTGCTCTGAGTTCTGGTGGCCTGAGCAAGCCCAGGTCCTCTTGTACCTCTTGCTAAAGCTCCAGCACAGGTGTAGTAACCATGCAAGAACCTTATTTTCTTTAGTCTATTCTTTATTTTGATTTATTTATTTATTTTTTTGCCTTTGACTCAAACTGGCCTCACCCAGCACCCTGACTCACCCCCCGCCCCCTTGCTTAGTCATTAAGCCCTCAGGACAACGAGCATCCAGTAGTCTTAGGAACAAGGTCCTGAATCTGTTGACTACAGAGACACAGTTTTCAATCAAACTAAAGACAGTATCTTGGCCTCGGCTGTGTTTTTGCTCTGGGCCCAGGAGAGCGGAACAATCTCATGAAACAGATCCTGGCGAAGTCTCAGAGAACAGCTCCATGGCTGACCAGCCGCAATGACCAGCTACCCCACCCTAGCACCAACCAATCCGTAGAGACAGAGACCAGGACCCTAACTGATTTAGTCACCATGGTGAATGATTTTCCCCTATATAATCCATCCCCTGGAAGGCACTGGGCAGCTAGGTCTTGGAGCACTAGCTCACCTATGCCTTCGGGCACAGTGCCATCTCCTTAATAAGTCCTTACCTTCTTGGCTGCAGACTCCTGTTCACGTCTTGTCGGGCTTTGATGCGCACAGGCGAACGGTCCTCTCCAGTCGGGTAACACAGGCTCTGTGAGCACCAGCCAGGTTTTGTCTGTGACTGATGGGCAGCAGGGCCCTCCACCGCGACCGGCACTGGAAACACTGTGAAACTGAAGAATGTTCCTCCTTGTCCTCTGAACTGCTCAGCCCTGCACCCACTCCCCGAGGTCCCTGACCAGCTTGGCCCCTCAGTTCTGGTTGCCCCCTACTGGGACCCCCTCTAGCCAGATTTCTCTGCCATCTCTGCTGTGCTCCCAGTCCGGAGCCTCCCGGACACTCCTACGGCAGGATGAGAGGGACCTCGGGAATTCCCACCTCTGTCACCTAAGTAATTGACACATAGTCCCCGACTTATGGTGGTTCGACCTAAGATTTTTTGACTTTACAAAGGTGTGGAAGTGATACACATTCACTAGAAACTGCCCTTCAGATTTTGTTATTTTATCCTCACCCGAGGACATTTTTCCATATTTTGTTCAGACAGAGTGGGAAGGAGAGAGAGAGAGAAACATCGATGTGAAAGGGACACATCGAGTGGCTGTCACCTGCACGACCCAACAAGGGCCGGGGACAAACTGCAACCGAGGTACATGCCCTTAGCAGGAATCGAACCCGGGTCTCTCTGGACCACAGGCCAACGCTCTAACCGCTGAGCCAAACTGGCCAGGGCGCCCTTCAGATTTTGAATTGTGATCTTTTCCCGGGCCAGTGATAGGCAATGCTCTCTTGTGATGTGGCCTCCAGCTGCAGCTCCCAGCCAGGACTTGAGGGTAAGCAGCTCATCCTGTGCGGCTGGTGGTATTTGCATAGTATACTCTGAGTACATCTGGGTGAAGCTATGATGTTCAGTAGGGGCAGGACACTAAATGCATTTTTGATTTATGATACTTTCAATTTACGTAGGTTTTATGGGGATGTAACCCATTGGAGGTCAAGGAGCATCTGTGATTTTTTTTTTCTTTATTGATTTTAGAGAGAAAGGAAGGAACAGGGAGAGAGAGAGATAGAAACATCAATTGGCCACCTCCTGCATGCTCCCCACTGGGGATCGGGCCCACAACCAGGGCATGTGCCCTGACCAGGAATCGAACCTGCGACCTCTTGGTGCAGGGTCGACGCTCAACCGCTGAGCCACACCGGCCGGCCAGGAGCACCTGTGTTTTATGTCAGCTTTTCTTCGCCAAGCTCCCTAAGCACGCAGGCGGCTCGCGAACACGCTGTCCTCACCAAGCTGCCCACCCCTGCGGTGAACCGCGGTCTCCTGAGACGGCAGAAGCTGCTACGGACACTTTTTTTAAGAAGCAAAATTTCCTTCTTTGCACAATTATATGAACGCTGATGGAAAAGAGCAGATCTGGGGCCAACAGGAAGGTGTTATATAGTGGGTATTCTCTAACAGCCCCCCCACGGGGCACAGGGCGGCTCCGCCCCGGCAGGCCTGCAGCTGCGCCCACCGTTTCCTGGGGACTGCCGGCCTGCGGGCTCCTCCTCCTTCCTGGGTTCCGGTTCTTTCCATCCTGATAGGAGGGAAACTCGTCTTTCAGAAAAGCTCTCTCCCACAGCTACCTTCCTAACCCCAGCCTACAGGTTCTCTCTTCGCCTGTCCTTAAAATAGTTCCTTTTTCTCCGCAAGCGCATTTCCATGGAGACCCAGCTCACGGGGGCAGCAGCTTGTGCAAGGCAGCCAGCCCAGGTCCCAGCCTGCATTCCAGCAGAAAGAGACCCTTTGTGATGCAAACGCCTGGTCTCGCCCTCCCCACAAGGTCCCTTTTGGTCCCTTTTTTGGGAAACCTGCCCTGTGTCCCACCGAACAAGGCTGGCAGGTGGGGTCCAGGACAAGTGCCTTTCTGTTAGTGCTGTTTGGGTGGCTGGGCTGCGCCGGTCAGTTCTCGCTTCGGTCGCAGCCTGGGCCTGTCCGCGAGTACCTTCACTCCAGGCGTGTATAGCTGGCCTTCATTCCCTCAACCACATACATGCTGATGGCACACGCTGGGCCTTGGGAGTCAGCGCATTTATTAAGGGGACCACGGGCGGGGGTAGGGGTGGTACATCTTGGGCTGCGGGATCAGACAGAATAGAGTTTAAATATTTTGTTTTTCATTTCCTAAAAGTATGCTCTTGTACTGGACGCTTAGGTTTTCTGAGCCTCAGTCTCCTCATCTGTAGAATGGGGAGAAGGGTGCATGGTGTGGCTGTGTGGATCCATGAGCTCGGCAGAGACGCAGCCTGCCTGTGTAGGCACTCACTGACCCTCACTGACCCTCACTGACTGCAGCCCTCCCTCTCCCTGGAGACAAGACTGAAAAGGTCCCGGCAGCCAGTGGGGAGGCCTCTGAGCAGGGCCTGCAGGCACTGTAGGAAGGTCCTGGAAGAGGTAGGTAAGGTCTCCCAGGTGTGGGTGAGAGCCTGGCACAAGCAAGGCAAGAAATCAAGGGGCGGGTCAAGACGGAAAGCCTAGAACCAGGGGCAATGAGGGCCCGCTGAGGCCAAGGAGGGGCCAGCTAAGGCCAAGGAGGAGCTAGTCGAGGCCAGGTGGACTAGTTTAAGCCAAAGAGAAGTAGTTAAGGCCAGGGGGACGAGGTGGGGGGTAGCTGAGGTAGGGGGGTGAGTATTGGATAGCTTTAGTTGCACAGATCAGAATTGCTCAGATTGCCTGAGCCAATGGGAGTGAACCTTGGGGACACATCGGAAGTCCTTGTGCAGGCGCCAGCCATGTTTCACGGGGCATTCAGGACGCGTTGGCGGTCCCGGTCACCACACAGCAGCTCTGTGCCCGGCTGTTCTGGATCAGCACTGCTGTTTGTCCCTCCACGGACCTCTCCTCCTCCCCTCACCAAGTAAGGGGCTCAAGGGGACTTACTCAATCTGCAGGGACTGACTGAGCAGACAGTGACAGGCTGCTCATGTGTTTACGGAGGTCAAGAACAGGATGAGGCAGGTGAGGTGCCAGGTGCAAAGGTAAGGGGCACTCACTCTCAGGTGCCCACCTGAGCTTGCACTGTCTTACATGTAGTGCCTGGATGCCTCACGCCCTGGATGCCAGGAGGAGCTGCGTGAATGAGCAGGCACCAGGCTCTGCCATCCAGGCAGGGGCCCTGGGAAGGAGGGGGAGGGGCAGAGGGGCAGACAGGAGAGGCTGTCTGTTGCTTTACTGGAATCGTGCTTCCGTGCATGGGATGTAAACTGAATTTTCATGCCTAATTTTGAGCATATCCCCAGAAGTTGTCTTGCTTCCGTTATTTTAGAAGAGCGTTCGGTTTAGGTATGACCAGCAGTCCAGACCCGAGCAGAGTGCCTGAGCGTGCCCAAATCGCGCAAGC